CCAGTAATAATACCGCTGCAGCTGCTGCCGTGTTTTCTCTACCCCGAAATGTCCCGAGGTAACTCCGTCGTGTGCCTCCTGTAACAGTAATTCCCGTAGCAGTGTGTACCCTGGTACCCAGATGCGGTCGGTCCCGGCTTTTACGTAATAGACGCCTTTGGCTGCTGCGAACTGCTGCGAATTTCCTCCTGTGAAGAATGGGTCTGTTTGGTACCCATGGGTAAATAGTCCTGTCAGTAGCGGGCTGGTCTGGGCGAGTAGTATCGCGTGGATTTGGGCAGTGGGGCGGGTCAGTGCGTCAGCGATGTTGGATGCTCCCTTTTTGTAGGTGACAGTGTAGTGGAAATTTGACTCGAGGAAATCGAGCCAGCGGATCTGTCGTGGGTTGAGGTGGGGCTGTGCGCGGAGGTACTGTAGGGATCGGTGGTCTGTCCGTACTGTCACGTCTGCGCCGGTCAAGTAACAGCGCCAGACTTTGAACGCATGCACGATCGCGAGCATTTCGCGGTCGTGTATCGGGTAATCTTTCTCGGGCGGATGCAGCTTTCGTGATTCGTATGCGATGGGCTGTAGGCCGTTGCCGAAATCCTGTAGCAGTACGGCTCCAATGGCGATGTCGCTTGCGTCGGTTACTACTTCGAAGGGGCGGTGTGGGTCGGCGATGCGCAGTACGGGTGGTGAACAGAGAACAGTTTTCAGGGCAGAGAAGGCAGCATGCTCTTTCTCCCCCCACGTAAAAACGACCCCTTTCCGCAGCAGATCCGTCAGTGGGGCTGTTAACTTCGCCATGTCGGGGACGAACCGACGCACGTAATTCACGAACCCTAAAAAACTCTGCAGCTCCGTGATATTTGTCGGGGGGTGCCATGCTTTGACCGTGTCGAGCTTCTTGGGGTCGATTTCAACCCCAGCCTCCGAAATGACGTGCCCCAAAAATTCTAACCTGTCCTGAAAAAACTCGCACTTGGAACCCTTGGTCAGTAGTCGGTGCTTGTCTAAAACGTTAAACACTGCTTCCAGATCTGCTAAATGCTGCTGCTTATCACGACTGTAGACTAGGATGTCGTCGAGGTAAACTATCACGCATTTATCTAAAAGTGGCCTAAACGCCTCGTTCATGGTCATCTGAAATGTTGCCGGTGCGTTGGTCAACCCGAATGGCATCACACTGTACTCGAATGACCCGTACCTAGTCCTAAATGCTGTCTTGGCGCAGTCTGATGGTTCGACCCGAATCTGATGGTAACCTCCCCGTAAATCTATTTTCGAAAAAACCCGTGCTGTTCGCAGTTGATCTATCAGTTCGTCGGCGCGGGGAATGGGGTATCGCGACTTGACTGTTACCCTGTTCAGTGCTCTGTAGTCGATACACATGCGGAAACCCCCGTCTTTTTTCGGTGTGAACAGTATCGGTGCGGCGAACGGCGACGAGCTCGGTCGGATGAATTTTTTCTCTAACAGGTAATCTAACTGCTTCCTCAGTTCGTCGAGCTCTGGCTGTGTCAGGCGGAATTGTCGCTGTACAGTTGGCTGTGCCCCCGGTTCTAACTCTATGCGGTGGTCATGTGCCCGCTGAGGTGGCAGTCCCTCTGGTAAATCGTCCGGAAAAATCCCCGGGTATCATTTCAACAGTTCCTGTAGTTCAGGCGGTACTGCTGCCAACAGTTTCTGAAAATCGTTCGGCTGCTCCGCTTCTCCTACCAATGCTATATCCAATGCGTACACGTCAGCTCCAGCGGCGACAGCCCGTTTCATCGTGATGGCGTTGACGTGGACCGTTGAAGACTCGGGCGACTGCCAGCGAGGTAGCACGACCCAGTTACCGCTACTTCGCACAGTGCAGCTACCCGTCGTCCAGTCGATTCGCGGGTTATACCGTCGCAGCCAATCACGTCCCAGTAAAATGTCGTGCCCATCCAATGTCGTCGCGAGCATTTCCTGTGTAAACCCAAAAATTCCCCCGCAGCGGACCTTTACTCTCTCCACCTTCTCCCGTATGGCCAGTGGCGTTCCGTCCACTAAGCGTGCATCTATTTCCGGTAAACACCGACTAAGTGTCAGTTGCAGCTTTCGTGCGGTTGCGGTATTAACTAAGCTGTGGCTTGCTCCTCCGTCTATAAAAATCTTCACTGCTGCTCCCTGTATTTTCCCGTGGATCAGTACTGGGCAATCCGTCGCTGTACCCTCCTTATTCATCCGAGCCCGATCGATAGCGTGAATCGGTACTGTGACTCGGTGAGGGTCGGTGTGGTTGGGCGAGCAGGCAGTCTCGTCAGTAGTTGGCCCGATTCCTACTGACTGCTGGCGTTTCCCTGCCTTAGAGACTCCCTCCCCTGCTCTGCTCCGCGGCGCCTCAGCTCCTCTGGGCACTCACTCTTACGATGGCCCGGCCTATTGCAAGCGAAGCAGCGCCCCTTAAACGGCGTGGCAGCTGCGTTCGTCGCAACAGCGTGTACAGTGGCGTGCTCGATTGGTCCCCGAGGGCGATGTCCGTAGTAGGACCCCGGTCTCGGTCGGCGTAATATGTCGATTTTCTCGGCGAGCGCGAGAATCTCGTTGAAATTTGAGAGTCCGCATAGCATGATTTCGTGCGAGATGTCCGGCTTCAGCCCTCCGACGTAACGGTCCACCCGCTCCGCTTCGTGCACATAGCCGACTTGCTCGCATAATGCGAGAAAACCGCTCGTGTAGTCTTGGACCGATCCGAGCTGCCGCCAAGTACGCAGTTTCTGACGCGCCGAAATAGAAGCCGCGATCGGCTCGAAGCGCGCCCGAAGCCCTGCGCACCACGCATCCCACGTGCTGTATTGGGCTGTTTCGCATAATGAACTCCAGGTGACGGCTGGTCCCGTGGGCCCTTCCTCTTGCGACAGTGGCTCGTAGGCGCGTGGCGACGTCACGATGACTCGCCACCAGTCCATGGCGGGGCCCCTCAGCAGCGAAACAGCATAGCGAATCTTCGCTGCGTCCGACTCGACGTAATTCGCGTCGAAGAAAACGTTCATCGTGAAGACCCACGACTGAACCGTCGGACCTCCACGTTGGCTTGGATCGAAACAGGGCGGGCGCTGCGGCTTGAGTGGCATTGGTGCCATGATGTCGTGGTCGCCACTTGTTGCTGCAAACTCCACGTGCCGACGAGCTTCGCGAGGCCCACGCGGGCTTGGCGCGGCCCGATTTCTCTCCATGCCAGGCATCGATTGAGCGGCGCCATCACTGGCTGCGCCTGAGCGCTGTCCCACGCTGTCGTTTTGCGTCGGTGTGCCTGATGAGATGACGATCGGTTCTTCTGATTGCGCAGGTGCATTTGCGGGTGCTTGTGATGGAGCTGGTGCATTCACCGTTGATTGCTGGCGGGCGGAGTCACGTTCCGCCGTGAGTGTCGCAATTTCGAGTGCCGAATCTTCGAGTTGACGTACGAGACGGTCGAGCTGCTCCTGCGTCAATGTCGCAAGATTAATGTCGGCCATGGCGGGGGTGTCGGGCAAACTCAGCGGGAGCCTCTGTCGTGGCCGTGCGTGCTTACGAGAGGGCACTTCGAGCGGCGATGCTTGTTCGCTGAGAGACGTCTACCCCCCCCAAAAATGGAGATAGTGGGGAAGCGAAGGTGTGGGTGCGGTCCGAGAAGAGATCGTAGGCTCTGATACCAAGTGTTACGAGTGCAATTGAGCGAACGAGTGAGAATTGCACTATCGAAGCAAGAGTACAATGAGCTAAGGCATGAGCGAAGAATATATAGCGAAACTACAGTGGTAACGGTAATGTGTGAAAAATGGGGTGCGCGACGGGCCTGGTGCCGAGGTTGGGAAAGTGTCGAGGCGGAGGTCCGGAGCGCGGGTTACCAACCGAACCGTGAGGTTGGGTCGCGTCGTGAATGGTGGCGGGAATGGTGTCGAAGCGAGTGTCGCGAGTGGTAACGGATTACTGTTGGGTGCTGTGGGTGGGAACAGTGGTGTACGCGCTGAGCAGGGACGCGAAGTAAGGAAAATGAATTTTCCTTACAGCACTAGTTAGGGTTGTTTGCTTAGTCTGTTGCAAATGCTGTGAATTGTTGGGAATGCTACCGGTAGGTTTGTTGCTCTCGGTAAGCATAACCGTTAAGGAAATGGCGGAATCAGTCATAGCGAGGAACCCTCCGCCACCAGCCGCCACGCGAGATCACATGCCACGTGTTGAAGCATGACTCAGCAACAAGCCCATCACTGCGCTCTTTCCTCCGCGTGGATGTCTAGCTCCAGCGAACGAAATTCTGGGTGTAATTGCTAACAAAATCGAAGATTTGTCCTAACAACTCGAGGACATTCTGGGTGTAATTGCTTCGCGACTTCGTTAGTTCTGACGTTCTCTTCTCAACCACCATTTCCGCCCTCTCTTTCTTTGCGAATCTGCATGGCACAAATAAGCTCAGTCACACTTATAAACTTCGTGGGGTTTTGCATACCCTTTCACCCTATTTCCAGAGCAAAGACAGAAAGCCTCCTGCCACCTCTGTTCGATATGTTCAAAACTAGCAAGCACAGCGTACACAGGATCACTTTACAGCAGATGATGGTCGTGATTGTAACTATCAGACCGCATCCTTTTCGTTCGTATTTGTCCGCTGTTGTCGTCGTGAGTTCTTTCATCTCGCGTTACCTCCATCTCTCTTACGGCCTCGTCCGCATTCTTACGACCTGCCAACCGTAACGCGTCGCCTTGCGTCGATCCAGACTCGATCTTTCCAAGCTCCTCGAGAAGCATTCCCCTTGCCGTCTCGATCCAGTTGTTCTCCTGGCGTAGCGATCTATTCGACCTCTATCGCCTTCCGCTCGGCTCGATCCATCGACCGCTATCGCCTTCCCTTCGGAAGATCCATTCTTTTTGCGTCGCCGTGGCTGGTTGTGCGATCCAGTTCACGACCTCCGCTGCCTCGTCGCGCGTTGCGGTGCGATCCAGTCGCGGGAATGCAGTCAGCGGTCGGGGCGAGCAGCATGACAGGCTCCGCCAGCCAGTCCGCCAGAATGCATCCGCCGATCCAACTGGGATCCGCTAACAGGTGAGCCTCTAACGGGGACGCAGACCATTCTCGAGGATTTGCGCGGTTCAAGGGACAGATAAAAGGGAGAGAGCTGGGGAGAGGTGGATGTAGGAAAAGGGGGGAAGGGGTTAGGGGGAAAGGGAGGGAGGAGGAGGATGGAGGGGGAGGTGTTGAAACCCTTGCTGTGTCGATCCATCTGCTGCTGCTCGTTATCGAATGGCTTCTTATGGAGAAGGAATAACTCGCGAGGGACCCTGACGACAACACTGCGCCTGTCTGTCGCGGGTTTGAGCGCAGGACCTTAAAAGAAAGAGGCGTCGTACTTGATCTTCATGAACATGAAAAAACCAAGTGACATTAAACTATTCGTTCAAACGCCTCAAGAACAATGTATTGTCACGAGGCATCGTGCTTGATCTTCATGAACGTGGAAAATCCAAGAGAGAGAACGAAAAGCCATGTATATGCGTCAAAGATCACGGCTGTATTCTGACACGAGAGGTTTAAGAAAGCAGAAAAGAATCCATGGCTTTCTTACCGAAGCAAGCGAGTTGAAGCAGTGTCTTCGTTCTCCTCGTCCTCCCAAAACCCTGTGTGCACACTCGTGCAGCAGTCCCCATCCGCGTATTGCATCGCGTGTCCCCTTTACAAACCCTCAACTCTCCCTCGCATTTTCAAACTCTCTCCCCTCGCCTCATAAAGCCTCGGCACCATTCTTCTTTTCCCCTCCTCTCCCTCCCCACAACATCCTTCCCTTCCCCCCGCCCCCCTTTCCCCTCCCTCTCTCTCCCCCTCTCCACCCCACTCCTCTTTCTCCCGCGGCTGCAATTGTCCGCTTCCGCGCAGCGCTCCTTTCCAGTTGCGCCCATCCCACTTCCCATCTCCCCCAGCCATCACCCTCCCAACGCCGCCCTGTGGCGCTGCGAGCCGAAGCTGTCACGCATCCACCGCGCCTCCGCCCCTCCGCCCCGTCCCTCCGCCCACCGCGCGCCAACGTCTATGCAGATCCGCCTGCGCACCCGCCCATTCTCGCCTCGCGCGCCCGCTTCCCCCGCTCGGCGGCTGTAGCGCGGCTGTGGCGGATAGAGCAGACAGGAGAGGGCGCAGAGGGCGGGTTAGGGCTGGGAGTGGGTGGGCGGGCGTGGGGAAAGGGGAGCGCCAGCAGGGATTCGATTCGGAGGAAGGGTGGGCTTTAGAAGAGGAGAGGGATGGAGAGGAAAGGGCGGAAGGAGAGGAGTGGGAAGGAGAAGAGGGGGAAGGAGAGGAATGGGAAGGAGAGGAGGGGGAGGATGATATGGTGGAGGGTGGATCAGTGTCGTTGGATAACGGGGTGAGCTATACATTCCCTTCCTTGCTCTCTCCTTTCCTTGCTCTCTCACATTTTCCCGTTTCTTATTCCTACCAATCCAACCCCATCCCATCCACCTTCTACTCTGTTGCCTATTGTACCTCGCACATCCCTCCTCTCTCTCATTCTCTCCCTCCCTCTCTCCCGCGCTCCCTCTCTCAAATACACACACACACACACACACACACACACACACACACACACTGTCACGCTTTCTCGCTACCCCTCTGTCAGTTTCAGTTCTACTCATCGGACCAAGGTCCTTCAAACCCGGAGAACCGAGCAGCAGAGTTCGCAGCAGCAGCAGCAGCAGCAGCAGCAGCAGCAGGAGTAGCAGCAGCAGGTTCAGGGGCGCTCCCAGGAAGCACCAGCTCCAGCAGCAGCAGCACCAGCAGCACCAGCACCAGCAGCAGTGCCACTAGCAGTGACAGCAGCAGCAGCAGCAGCAGCAGCAGTGGCAGCAGCGGGGGAAGCAGCGGGGGGGCGGGGCTGTACCGAGTGCCGGTGTCGGGGGGTGTGCAGAGCGCCACTGCCGCTCACAGGCTGCCCTCGCCTGCTGTGGCTGTGCGCAACCTCGTGGAGCAGGTGAGACAGTCGCGCACGCGGTGTGTGTGTGAGGGGCAGGTGGTGTGTGTGTGTGCCTCCCAGGCTGCGATGCAACCCCCTTCTCTGCCCTCTGGTGGCATGTGGGGCACTCTCGTGGAGCAGGTGCGACAGGTGTTGGTCTGGTGGTATGGGGGGCAGGTGCGACAGGTGTTGGGGCTGGTGGTATGGGGGGCAGGTGCGACAGGTGTTGGGGCTGGTGGTATGGGGGGCAGGTGCGACAGGTGTTGGGGCTGGTGGTATGGGGGGCAGGTGCTATGTGGGATGGGCAGTGTATGGGGCGGGTTGTATGTGCCCCAGTTGCCCTCCCCTGCCTTCGCCTGCTGTGGCTGTGCGCAATCTCATGGAGCAGGTGAGATGGGTGGCATGTGGCATGTGGGGCGGGTGGCATGTGGGGCGGGTAGCATGTGGGGCGGGTGGCATGTGGGGCGTGTGGCATGTGGGGCAGGTGATGTGTGGGGCGGGTAGCATGTGGGGCGGGTGGCATGTGGGGCAGGTGATGTGCCTCCCGCCAGCTTGTCCTCTCTGTGTGCATTCGGGGCAGGTGGTACTCCAAAGATCCAGGCGCTAGCTGCAAAGCAACCTCACATCAAATCACTGTAAACCCCTTATCCTCTTCCCCTTCTTTTCGCCGTTGTGTATGACACAGGCACGTTTCGTTTCGCCCACCTCTGCAGCATCATGTCGCGCATGCACCACCGCCGCAAGGGCAACCCTAAACCTTGGTTGAGGGGGTTGGAAATCCAAAAATAAAATCTCCCCCTTTTGTTCCCTTGTGTATCATACAGGCGCGCTTCGCCCACCTGTGCAGCATCATGTCGCGCATGCACCACCGCCGCAAGGGCTACCCGTTTGGCTCGCTCGTTGACTTCGCCACCGACGACGAGGGCCGTAAGTGGCCATTAGTCACAAAAAATGCAGCATTCTTCCGCTCTTTGGAGTATCGACAGTTGTAGTTTGGCAGTCAATATTCATCTCGAAGTCTCAGCTCATTTGTTTCCCTAAAGTAGCCTGAAACCGGAGTTTCCCTTTTGTTGTGTTTTGTTTTACCTCTTCTTTGTATCTGTGTTGCTTTGTGGGCGCAGATCCCATCTTCCTCCTCTCGCCTCTCTCCATCCACACGCGCAACATGCTTGCAGATCCTCGATGCACTCTTGTTGTTCAGGTACCCAACTCGCTCATGCCACCTTTCTTTCTGTTCGCCCTCCTCTGAATCTTCATGGGTATATTCGTCTGTTTTTTTTTCCATAATTTCTGCTGTTGGCCAAGGTTCCTTTCTTACTTCCAGATTCCCGGGTGGAGTGGCCTGGCCAACGTGCGTGTCACCGTATTTGGCAACGTGTATCTGGTGCCGCCCTCCCAGCAGCACTGGGCTTTTGAGGCGCCTCAAAAGATTCCCGGGTGGAGTGGCCTGGCCAACGTGCGTGTCACCGTATTTGGCAACGTGTATCTGGTGCCTCCCTCCCAGCAGCACTGGGCTTTTGAGGCGCCTCAAAAGATTCCCGGGTGGAGTGGCCTGGCCAACGTGCGTGTCACCGTATTTGGCAACGTGTATCTGGTGCCGCCCTCCCAGCAGCACTGGGCTTTTGAGGCGCCTCAAAAGATTCCCGGGTGGAGTGGCCTGGCCAACGCGCGTGTCACCGTATTTGGCAACGTGTATCGTGCCGCCCTCCCAGCAGCAATGGGCGCACCATTTCTTTGGAAGCCTGACCCTAAACCCTCAAGCTGCCCAGCGGGCTCACCCTTCCCTGCAACTCAGTGCCAGACATCTCAGCAATTGCTCTCTTTCCTCCCTCTTCTTTCTTGTTTCCCTTCTCCCCTCCCCTTCCTATCCCTGCCCAACCCCCCTCAACCAGATTCCCGGATGGAGTGGGCTTGCGAATGCCCGTGCCACCATATTTGGAGACGTGTATCCAGTGCCGCCTGCGCAGCAGCAGTGGGCGCAGCGCTTCTTTGCCCGCCGCCACCACCACGGCGCCGCGCAGATGTGGGGCAACTTCAGCTACTACCGCATGCAGCAGATCTGGTACGCTTACTAGCCCTGCGCAGGTGTGGGGGAACTAAATCTGTCAGAAATCGTCAGTTGTAGTTTTTTATTTTCAAGGCTCCTCGAAATTCGTTTCACTATTTGTCAGGGGCCGATCAAGTCCAGCCAGATTGAGTTTTAAAACGTCCATTTCGTCCAAACTCAATTATACTCTTCTTATGATCTTACCCCCTCTGCAGCGACATCTACTTTGTTGGTGGGTTTGGCACGGTGGCATGGATCGACGTGAAGGACTATCTGGCTGCCACACCGGATGCCATCGTGCTGCATGATACTGAGGCCATTCTGCATGTGAGTGATAGAGTGGGTGGGTGGGTGGGTGGGTGGGTGGGTGGGTGGGTGGGTGGGTGGGTGGGTGGGTGGGTACTGAATGGTTAGCTGCATGGGAGTGGGTGAGCGTGGGTGGGTGAGTAGGTGCATTACACACCACCTGCCTGCCAGACCAGACGCCATGGTGCTGCATGACACCGAGGCCATTCTGCACGTGAGTGAAAAGATGGAGGGAAAGGTGAATTTTGAGGCGCCTCAAAGATGGAGGGAAAGGTGATTTTTTAGGTGCCTCAAAGTTGGAGGGAAAGGTGATTTTTGAGGCGCCTCAAAGTTGGAGGGAAAGGTGATTTTTGAGGCGCCTCAAAGATGGAGGGAAAGGTGATTTTTGAGGCGCCTCAAAGATGGAGGGAAAGGTGATTTTTGAGGCGCCTCAAAGATGGAGGGAAAGGTGATTTTTGAGGCGCCTCAAAGATGGAGGGAAAGGTGATTTTTGAGACGCCTCAAAGATGGAGGGAAAGGTGATTTTTGAGGCGCCTCAAAGATGGAGGGAAAGGTGATTTTTGAGGCGCCTCAAAGATGGAGGGAAAGGTGATGCATGACACCCAGATGGCGGCACATTAGCACCGTGCTGCCACAGGCCACATTGCGCAGGAGGGAAGGATAGGGTGGAAAGCACAAGAGACTGCATCGTGGGCGGTATTTGCGTGAATGATGGGTTGGCTGCGTGTGCGTGAGGAAGTAACAGAACGTGCGCTTGGGATGGGGTTCGATCCATCTCTGCACGTGTAACAACCAACCCCACCGTCCTGTGCCTCCCCCTGAGCAGGAGCTGAACGTACGGCTGGGATCGGATCTGAAGTGCCAGCTGGCGTCGATCCTGCCGCAGCCGGTGGATGATGCACTGTTCATCAGCATCGATGGCAAGGGGGTCGACATCCGCGTGCGACACGGCGCCAAGGTATGGAAGAGGCAAGGTGGGAAAGTGCTGTTGCTGTCATGCGTGCTGCGTGCTGCCATGTCTGTGTCAACTTGCATCGATGGCAAGGGGGTTGACATCCGCGTGCGGCACGGCGCTAAGGTATGGCGGTGCTTTCAGTTCCATGTGTGATGTGTCCTGTTTGCTGTTTGCTGTTTGCTGGGTGCTGGGTGCTGTTGGTGCACTGTTCATCAGCATCGACGGCAAGGGGGTTGACATTCGCGTGCGGCACGGCGCCAAGGTGAGGTGGAGCAGAGGCAAAGTAGGTTCCATTCTTTGTGCGCTGTGTGGGTGGGGCCAAGGTATACGGTGCACTGTTCATCGGCATCGATGGCAAGGGGGTTGACATCCGCGTGCGAGGAAAGGTTTGGAGCTAAGATCTTGTGGCTGTGAGGTCATGGTATGGTGGTGCTGCTGGTGCTGCCTGTGGAAACAAGGTAAGGCACGGCGCAAGGTAAAGTGATGCTGTTGCTATCATGCGTGCTGCGTGTCGTGTGCTGTGGGTGCTATTGCTGCTCCCTGTGATGTGAGGGCAACAAATGGCACAGATGCGGAGCAATGCGCCTCAGGGCACTGATGCCTCAATAACACACCCTCCCTCCCCTCTTCAGTTTAATGTGCAGCGGCTGTCCTTCAGTGCATCATCGGAGGTGCGATCAACAGACGAGGCCGTGGCAGCGCTGCACGAGGTGCTACAACACGGAGTCACCCCGCTCTCCAATGGCATGCTGCAATGACCGCCGGTCCTACTCCACGCGTCAAGGCCTTGCAAACATCAAATCATGCATTTTCCTCACCTTGAGTCGTCTCAGCGCTGCACCAGGTGCTGCGTGCGCCACGGCGTCACCCCGCTCTCCAACAGCATGCTGCAATGACAAAACCATGTCTTCTCCTTGCGTCCCTGCAGCAGGGACCCTGCGTCCTTACTTCCTCCTCCCTCCACGCCCTTGAGACGGTGACTCGACTGTCACTTTCTGCTGGGTCATGGTGTTACGTTACGTCACGCCTACCTATATCCAATCCAATAGCATGCCCAAATCATAAATGCACACCCCACCTTGCACACACATGCACATGCTAACATCATGGATGGCAGCAGGCTTGTGTGGCCCTTCCAATCTGCCATTCAAGGTAGTTGCTACTCGATTAGCAATCCGTGCCATGGATGGCAAATTTTGTTGCATTCATCCAAGTGATGGGGGTGAATCTGGAAAAAACGCTCACAAAGGCAATACTGGCAAACATATTGGTTCAACTGATAAAAGTTGTTAGGCATGGGCCACCAACTCCTTTCATACATGGCACCTCTTCTTGGCCAGGTGAAAGATTGTGAAGTCCAATAGATGGTGTTCGCTTCTGCCATGGCTGTGCAAACAGTAGTGCTGCTGCCATGCCTTGGAAAAGGAATGCATTTTCCAGCAGAAAATTTTTGTTTTGGACACACTTGGCTTGCCTTGTTCGTTGTACTTATCTCCTAGTGCATGCAGGATAATCAACAGCTAAGAATGATGGTTTGTTGAGCTAGAACAGGAAAGGTGCACAAGTGAGATCAGCTCATATACGTTTTTTAAAGAAAATGTAAACAGCCTTTTGAATACGGTATGCCAGTATACTGTAGGATCTGGACAACTGCCCATACATGGATTTGTCTGTGTTAAGTGGATTTATGCCACATACTGTAGATCTTAACAACTGCCAGCAAAACTCTCAGTACGCAGGCAGAACGCAGAATACCACGTGTTACTACTACTGCCCTCTTTTCTCAATGGCAAGGCTTCTTCACAGTACACACTGGAACCGAACTCACAGAGCAAGGGGAAGCACCAGCTGATGCCCAACGGCTGACCGCGTCAAGGCAATCTTTCTGATACGTAGCTGCAGGAATTCTTCGAACCAGGCAAGGCAGGCTCACACGAGAGGTCAACTCACTTCACAAGCAGCAGCCGATGGTGCCACCTCACCATCATGCAATGCTGCTCGCAAGTGCCTGTGCTGTGCAGCGCTGCATGTGCGGTGGGGCGGGACGAGGAGGAGGTGAGGGGGTGAGGCAAAGGGGTAGGGAGAAACGCGTGGGGGAGGTTGGTTTTGTCATGACCCATTCCGGCAAAAGGGGAACGGCGTGTGTGTGTGTGTGTGTGTGTGTGTGTGTGAGTGTGTGTGTGTGTGTGTGTGTGTGCGCGTGCGAGTGTGCGAGTGTGTGAATGTGTGTGGGTGTGTGCGAGAGACAGGCCACAAGAGCAGGGCAGGACCGGGCAGCCTGTGCCATGCGCGCCACCCCATCATGGTAGCGCCACCAGCGGCTTGGTGTCGCCAGGTCGCACATGGGGTAGCCGCGCGCTGTGATTCTTTCCATGCCCCGGAGCATGCCTCACCTCTCGGTCTACCTCAAGCACCGGAGTGACCAGAGCAGGGCAGGAGTGGGCAGCCTGTGCCATCCTGGCCACCCCATCGTGGTAGCGCCACCAGCGGCTGGGCGCCCCCAGGTCGCACATGGGGTACCCACGCGCTGTGAGCCCCCTGTAGTGCCGCGTACCCCCATCATACCCCCAGGGCAGCATGGCTCAAAACACATCTCACCTCAGGGACCGGAGCAACAAGCGCAGGACAGGAGCGAGCAGCCTGGGCCATCCTCGCCACGCCATCATGGTAGCGCCACCAGCGGCTCGGTGCCCCCAGGTCGCACATGGGGTACCCACGTGCCGTCAGCCCCCTGTAGTGCGCAAATCTCGCCACGTCCGTGGGAAGATCTAGGCCGTCCATATCGCCCCCGATAATCACGTGGATCTGTGCGAGGGTGAGGGGCGCGGGGAGGGGGGTGGTGGTTGGCGGATGGGCAGGGAGTCGTTTCAACGGACTCTGGGACATCATTCTCTTTGGAAACGCCAATCCACGACAACTGAACGGAGCAAGGGTGGCACAGTGTAGATGAGTGAGGATGGAAGGCGCTGACCTGTGCGAGGGAGACCCGGCAGGGGTTGAGGACGTATTTGCGGTGGCCGAACCGGTCCAGGCACAGATGGTCCTCACTCCCTCCACTGAAAAAATGAACGGCTGTGATGCACCCATGCCACCATGCAACCAGAGAGAGAGAGGCGGTGACTCACCTGAGCGAGGGAGACGCGGCGCGGGTTGAGGACGTATTTGCGGTGGCCGAACTGGTCCAGGCACAGATGGTCCGGGTAGAGGGACGTGTTCATGCAGTAGGCATGCGGCCACTGGGACCTCACCCCCTCCACTATGAAGGGCCGTGATGAAACCATGCCGCTAGATTCCCAATCCCCCCCTCCGCCCCCTCCTCCTCCCCCTTCCCCTCCCTGTCCCCCCTCTCCCTCTAACAACGTCATCCTCCTTCTCCAGGTTGTGCCGCCACTCCACAACTCCTCTGGGCGAATCTTGAGGCGCTTCAAAAGCCCTCCCTGATCTCCCCCTTTCTGTAACAACCTCCTCCTTCTCCTCCTTCTCCTCCTTGTGGTGCCGCCATTCCACGGCTCCTGCGGGCGGCAGAACGAGCTGTTGAACACCGTGCACCCAAACGTGATCCACGGGCGGCCAGCGTTGTCCTGTAGCAGCTGCTGCAGCGTGGCAGGCGGCAGCACCTCAACGAACTCGTCCAGGTCGGCGAAGAGCAGCCACCGCGCCCCATGGCGGTTGCCGTATAGACAGTCGTGTGTGGATAGGGCCTGCGGGGTTGGTGGGGGGTCGGTGGGGGCGTGGTGGGGGGGTGGTGAGGGGATGGTGGGGAACAATAGAGTGGTGGGTGGATAACTAGACAAAGAGCTCCACTGCGCCTTGTGGTGGTTCCCGTACAGGCAGTCATGAGTGGAGAGGGCCTGAGGGGTTGGTGGGGGTAGGGAGGGGTAGAGAGGGGTGTGTGTCAACTAGACAAAGAGCAGCCACCGCGCCCCGTGGCAGTTGCCATACAGACAGTCGTGTGTGGATAGGGCCTGCGGGATGGTGCGGAAGGGGAGTTGGTGGGAGTAGGGAGGGGTGTGAGTCAACAAGACAAACAGCAGCCACCGCGCCTCGTGGCGGTTCTACAGACAGTCGTGCGTTGAGAGGGCCTGGGAGGTTGGTGGGGAAAGAGTGGGGGGCGCAGAGGCGTAGAGAGCGGTGTGTGTGTCAACGGGGCAAAGAGCAGCCACCGTGCCTCGTGGCGGTTGCGATACAGAGAGTCGTGTCGTGCCTGGATAGATGACTTTTGAGGCGTCTCAAAACGAGAGTCGTGTCGTGCCGTGCACTGATAGATAGATTTGAGACGTCTCAAAATCTAAGATAGAGCCTGGAGAGGTGAGGGTTCAGTTTAGTTTTGAGGCGCCTCAAAACGAGAGTTGTGTCTTGCATGGATAGATAGCGCCTGGAGAGGTGAAGGTTGGGGTGGCAAGGAGACGAGAGGTTTTTTTATTAGCCTCAAAAATCGTCTCATCACACGTGAATAGAGCATGGGGAAGTGGGGGTTGGGGTGGCAAGGAGATGGGTGCGGTTGGGTGTTGAGGGAAGACAACAGAGGGTTGAGAGGGAACCAGGCAAAGAGCAGCCGCTGTGCTTTGTGGTGGTGGCGGCACAGACAGCCATGCGCTGAGAAGGCCTAAGGAGTTGGATTGGTTGAGGAGGGGTAGAGAGGGCTGAGTGATGAGTACACAAGCATCAGCAACCAGTGGGACTGGCAGCAGTGGCGCACCTGTGCGTAGGACCAGTTTTGAGGCGCCCCAAAACTAGACTTCTCAAACAGTAGTGGTGCACCTGTGCGTAGGACCACACGTCATATTGTGTTGACTCTTCGAACCCCACCACCTCAACCACCCCCACTCGCATCACACCCACAGCTGCACCACATCATTTCCTAATACAACACGTATTCAAAACAGCTTCCCCCAAACAAGCCGTACCTGTGCGTACGACCATACGTCGTACTGTGTCGACTCCTCGAACCCAACAACCTCCACCACCCCTGCCCGCACCCACGGCTGCACGGCGCTGCTGACGTCAGCGTGGTCGGCCACGCCGCCCGCGTCATACAGGACGAAATGGTCCACTGGCAGCAGCAGGCGGTGGAAGTGCAGCCACTCGGTGAGCGCCCGCGGGCTGATAGCGCCAAACATGGGCGGCCCGCAGAAGACGATATTGTTGGGGAAGGTTGATGGGTCTTCCATGGACTGTGAGAGGGTACATGGGAAAGGGAGAGAGGGTGGAAGTACAGCCACTAGGTGAGCGCCCTGGGGCTGATGGCTCCGAACATGGGCGGGCCGCAGAGGACGATATTATTGGGGAAGGTTGATGGGTCTTCCATGGGATATTGAATGGGGGAAGGAACACGGAACAGGTGGGGGAACATGGGGGAGAGGCAGTGGAAGAGCGGGCATTAGGTGAGCCCGGGGGCAGAGGAGGTGGGGCAGCAGCAGGTGGTGGAAGTGCAGCCACTCGGTGAGCGCCCTGGCTCCAAACATGGGCGGGCCACAGAGAATCATGTTGGCGGGGAAGGTTGACGGATCTTCCATGGGCTGGCAGGTGGGAGAGAGGGAGCATGGGGGAGTGTGAAAGGGGGAGTGGGTGGAAACACAGACTCCTAGGGCTGATAGAGCCGAACATGGGCGGACCACAGAGAACAATTCTGGCGGGGAAGGTCGAAGGATCTTCCATGGGCTGTGGATTGGGAGAAGAGAGGGAGAGAGGTGGGGGTGGGGGCAGGGAATGGGGGCTGGTGGCGCCGAACATGGGTGGGCCACAGAGAACTATGTTGGCGGGAAAGGTTGACGGATCCTCCATGGGCTGTGGCGTGGGAGTGGGAGTATGCAGCAAGGAGGTGTGGGGACATGGGGAGGAGGGGGGAGCGAGAGGGTGGAAGTGCAGGCAGTGGGTGAGCGCACGGGAATTGATGGCGCCGAACATGGGCGGGCCACACAGGAAGAGATTTGCGGGGAAGTTTGATGGATCCTCTATTGGCTGCTGTTTGAGACATCTCAAAATTTTTGAGTCTTGAGACGTCTCAAAACTAGATTTGCGGGGAATTTCGATGGATCCTCCATTCGCTGTTGGCTGCGGCACGAAGAAGGGAACACGGGGGAGTGCGAGGGTGAGAGGCAGTGGAAGTGCAGCCATTTGGTGAGCCGTGGTTTTAGGGTGAGCGCCCTGGAGCTTGTGGCACCGAACATGGGTGGGCCGCACAGGGTGCGAAGGTGGTGAAAGCGTGTATGCTCTCAGTTTAAGCAAGGCGCCTTTCACAGCACCTACCCCAACCTATCCCCACCTGCCCCGGCTGTTCCACCAAGGGGAAGAGCACCTCGCCATCGATTTCTGCCTCCAACACGCCCCCCAGCACGGGCGCACCTTACAGCACCTGCCAGCACCTACCCCAACCTATCCTTACCGATCCCCACCTGGCCTGGCTGTTCCACGAAGGGGAAGAGCACCTCGCCATCGATCTCTGCCTCCAACACGCCCCCTGACGCTGCTGAAGGCGCTTCTGCTCTCAACCCAAGCATGGGCGCATCCATCAGCACCTGCCCGCACCTGCTCTCACCCATTCCAACCTACCATCACCTATCCGCACCTGGCCTGGTTGTTCCACGAAGGGGAAGAGCACCTCCCCATCGATCTCTGCCTCCAACACGCCCCCTGATGCTGGTGAAGGGGCATCCAGCACACACAGCACCACCACTGCCTCGTACTGCCAAGTGGAGGGAGGGCAGGGGATGGGAGCGGGATGGCAGGAGAAAGAATTAATCGGTTTAGCTCTGTGGTGTCTAGAACATGCGAGTGTGATGGGTGCATGCGTCCAGCACACACAGAAGCACCACTGCCTCGTACTGCCAAGGGAGAACGGGGAGGGAGAGAGCTCAGGTTGAGTGGCGTTTGAAGTGTCTCGATAGGTATTTGCGTGCAAATCACACAGCAGCACCAGTGCCTCCTCGTAGACAAGGGAGACCGAGGGGGGAGAGGGCGTTTGTTGAGCTACTTTTTGGAGACTAAATGATTGTGTCACGTACAGCACACACGGCAGCACAATTTTCACAATTTTGTGGAGAGGGCAAAGGAGAGAGTAGGGAGAGAGAGTGGGGGGAGAGAGCAGCAAACAAAGAGAAAGTTTTGAGAAAGCTGTAAGTGTGGGTGAAGCAGAAAAGGGCTAGTCGATTTACAAGTGAACTAAAAAGGGCTAGGGAGGCAAAGATTTTTAGAGGGAGGGAGGACGGATAGAGAGAGGGAAGCAATTCAAGGTTCACACACACATTTCTCCGTCCCTCTTGACCTTTCTTTAGTCCCTCCCTTTCATGGTTGACTAAAAAAGGGACGAAGGAAGCGAGGATGGGGAAAGAGAGGGAACATAGATGGATGATGCAGGAGAGGACAGGTAGACAGAGAAATCAGAAAGCAGAAGGGAGAGAGCCAGAGAGGTCTACCAGGTAATCGTGATGCTCCTCCACATGCAACGGTTTTTTAGGCGCCTCGAAAGACGAATTTTGAGGTGCCTCAAATATCGAAAGCAGAAGGCGGAAATCAAGAGAGGTTCACCAGGTAATCGACTTTTGAGACGTCTCAAAAGCAGAAGGCGGAAATCAAGAGAGGTTCACCAGGTAGTCGTGATGCTCCTCCACATAAAGCGGGACCAGCTTGCCTTCAGTCACACCCCCACCACCACTCGCACCCCCACCCCCACCACTGCTACCTCCCTCATTGTCAACCCCAGCAGCAGCAGCAGCAGGAATCAAGAGAGGGTTACCAGGTAGTCGTGATGCTCCTCCACATAAAGAGGCACTAGCATGCCTTCAGTCACACCCCCACCACCGCTGCCAACTCCCCCATTGTCAGCAGCAGCAGGGGCGGAGGCGTGCCAGCGGCAGGAGGAGAAGCGGCGGCCGTGGTGCATGGGGAGGGACGCCAGGCCCAGCACTGCCAACGTGGATGCATTCACTCGGTAGGCGCTGGGGGATGGGGAGGCGGGAGGGGATGTGGGCCTTTGAGGATTTAGTGAGGGTTCTTGAAAGGCATCCAGCAGAGCTAGCCAGCCCTAGCACTGCCAGCATGAACGCATTCAACCAGTAGGCGCTGGGGGGGAGGGGGAGGGAGGGCAGGCAAAGTAGGCAGGCAACAGCATAAGCTTGCCTTCAGTCACATCACATCCCCACCTCTGCCATCCCCACCACCACCGCTAACTCCCTCATTGTCAACCCTCCCAGCAGCAGCGAGCGAGGAGGCGTGAAAGCGGCAGGAGGTGAAGGCGCGGCCATGGAGCATGGGGAGAGAGATGACTTTTGAGTCGACTCAAAAGTCATGGGGAGAGAGATGACTTTTGAGTCGACTCAAAAGTCATGGGGAGAGAGATGACTTTTGAGTCGACTCAAAAGTCATGGGGAGAGAGAGATGCCGAGCCAACCCCAATAAAAGCTCAACTGGATGAATCAAGATCCGGCCAGCCAGTCAAGTCTCGCCCAACTGCAGATCTCTCATCCCTGCGTGACCAGTGGGCCAGCCCCTCCTCTTCCATGACTGGCCGAACCACAATACTTTCATTGCTGTCCGTAAGTGTGTGTGCGTTTTTGTTTTTGTTTTTGTGTTTTTTTTTTTTTTTTTTGGGTTATATTAAAAAAAACACGGCTCAACAAATCAAGTTGACTGACCAAGCCACTATTCTTCCATCCCTGTCCGCCCCCCCCCTCACCTGAACTTGATAAATCCGAACGACCCATGGCGCTGGAAGGATCGTTGCTTCCAAAGTGACGGCCGATCGTCCGCCACCCAGAAGTGCATCAACGCCTCCTGCCGCCCCTTCTGCCACTGCTCCGGCCGTGCCACCTCCCCATCCTCGTCGCCCCCTTTATCCCCCTGCTGCTCTTCACTTGAAGAAAAACCATCCTTGCCACCCCCCTGCTGCTCCTCGCTGCTTCCAGAGGCTTCCTGAGTTCTTGCAAGGAAGGAAAACGGACGGAAGGTGCTTTTTATATGTGCCTCAAGATAGGCAGCTGTGTCTCTTTCTCTCACAGGTTCTCAAACGTTTGAACAGCAAGTCTGTTTTTGAGGCGTCTCAGAAACAAGATAGGCAGCTGTGTCTCTTTCTCTCACAGATTCTCAAACGTTTGAACAGCAAGTCTGTTTTTGAGGCGTCTCAGAAACAAGATAGGCAGCTGTGTCTCTTTCTCTCACAGGTTCACACACGTTTCTTGCACAGCAAGTCGGTTTGTGATGCTCCTCAGAAAGGGATAGGCAACTGTGTCTCTATTTCTCACAGGTTTTACAAACGTTGCACAGCAGCAACCAATCCCCACCACTCCTCCCAGCCCATCCCAACCCACCTGCACCGCTCGCACTTGCGCCTCCAGCTTCCTTGCATGCTGCCCGACAATATCTTTCAGCTGCCCGACGTCCTGGCTCATGGCCTTCAACCTGCCCTGCTCGTGCTGCCACCAGTCCGCCACGTCAGCAGCGCCACGCGCACTGTCCTGCTTCGTCTGCAGCATCTCTAGCCCCATCTTCTTAATCCCCGCTGCCACCTGCCCCTTCAGCTCTCTCCTGCTCTGCTCCAGCAGCTCTGGGAGGGGGATGGGATGGGGGTTGGCAGCAGAAAGGGGGGACAGTGGGGAACGGATCGTTGCTGCAGCTGCTGCTTCGTCTGCAGCATCTCTAGCCCCATCTTCCCCAGCCCCTCTGCCACTTGCCCCTTCAGTTCCCTTCTGCTCTGCTCCAAAAGCTCTAGGAGGAGAGAAGAGGAACATCACAGGCACCAGAGGGGGATACGGTGGAGGTGAGGTGGAGAGGAACAAGGAGGCGATCTGGACTCTGGAGCCCAATACGAGACACATTCGTTTGTGGCATCTCAAGGCCCATTCGTTGCGTGCGAGCATGCAGGGTGTTTTTAGAATTCCCCAAAACATTTAAAGACGACACTACAAGTACCCACAACACAAGTAGACTCACTGTGCAAGGAGCGGACGTCACTGGCTGTGTGAGCCAGCAGTGTTCTGTAGTTGAATTGGTGCGCCCTGCTCTGATGGTTGGCTCCATGCATGCATGCATGCATGAGTGCATACCCATGCACATGCACGTGGACATGCACGTGGACATGCACGTGGACATGCGAATGCACATACACATGCCCATGCCCATGCACATGCACATGAACACACTCGTGCATATGCAACATGCAGCGAGGGGCTCATGCGGAAGGAGAGGCAGATGCAGGAGGACGGTGAAGGAGAGGAAACAAAAAGGGGCATTCCACTCCCCTCGCTCCACTCACTCCCCTTTGTCTCATCACTCCCCTTTGTCTCATCACTCCCCCCACTCACCAGCTAAATCACTTGACGACACCTCAAGAACCTGAGAACCTGAAGGCAGCAGAAGGCACCTGAAACACCTGAAAGCACCTGAAGGCACCTGGCTGTCCTGCTGCAATCTGAACATTCGGTCTCACCTTGGTCTATTTGCTGCCCACGAAGTCGTCCTGTGGTAACCGCATGGGCCCCAGCTCGGGTTAATTTTATCTGAATGCGCAAGTCACTTTTGCAGCAACCTCAGCATTTGGCCTCACCTTGGTTGATTTACTTCCCACGAAGTCGTCCTGTGGTAACCGCATGGGGCCCAGCTCTGGTAACCACATCAGGTACAGCTGATGCAGGAGGAGGGGAGAAAGGGGGACGGGAAGAAGGGGGAAGGGGAGGAGTTTTGAGGAGCCTCGAAGCCGTCTCTGGTTACCACATCAGGTACAACTGTCGCAGCAGGATGGGAGAAAGGGGGAGAGGGATGGGTGGGAGGTGAGGGATGGGAAGGGACGGGGGAATGGAAGGGAGGGTGGAGGGGAGGGACGGAAGGGGAGGAGAGGAGCGACGGAAAGGGAGGGAGGGAGAGGGGAGAGAAGAAAGTATGCAATTTGAGTCGTTCACGCATGTTTTGTGTGGCATGAGAAGACATGCAGCAGGAAGGCATGGTGTAGGGAGGGCAATGGAGAGGGGAAGGCAAAGGAGAGAGTGGGAAGGAGGGGCGGAAGGGAGCGATGGGAAGCCAGGAGGGGAGGGATGAGAAGAGAGGGAGTGGGGAGAGGAAGGAAGCATGTGCATTGAGACATTGACGCATGTGCTGTGTGACATGAGAAGACATGCAGCAGGAAGGCATGTGGCTGGGAGGGCAATGGGGCAGTGAGGGCATGGAAGAGAGAGGAGGGGCGTACCTGGAGAGTGGAGAGAGCGAGGAAGGGCAGCATGAGGCAGAGGTAGTTCGCTGCCTGTATGAGGAACAACACAAGGGTGAAGAAGGGAGAGCGAGGGAAGGATGTGCGGAGTGAAGGGACCAAGTGAGGAGAGGAGAGAACCAACCTTCCCGCATGCACATCCTCCAGCACAAGGAGAGGTGACGCAATCTTCCCGCATGCAATTATCTTATCCCCCCTTTCCTTCCCTCATCACTCCTCCTTCCCATCTCGCCTCCCCCTTCCCCCCATCCCCCCAAACCCCTTTTCTACCTCCCCCCTTTACCCCTCCCTTCTTTCCCCATCCCATTCCGCCCTCCCCACCGCATGTCGGGGAAACAGTCCGCCAGACGCGCGCGGACTGCCAGCACCCCGGAAGGCGCCTTTGGGGCTCGACGCCTGCCCATCGGCGGCTTCCCCCGCCCCCGCCGATCCCCCCGCGCGGCTGCCAGCGCCAACGACGGCGGAAATTCCGCCATTTATTGCGGCGCCTGCTGCGCCCAGCGCTACCGCCGCCATCTTGACGCTCCCGGCCAAAGTCCGCGCGCCTGCGGCGTGGCGGGGTACGGCGGACGACGCCATGCGCGCATCCGCAGTGGGAACCGCCGCGGGATGGTGATTGTCGCCGCCACCGGCACAATCGCGGCTGCCTGGTGACGTAGAAGTACAGAGGGATTTAGTTTTGAGACGTCTCAAAACTGAAGTACAGAGGGATTTAGTTTTGAGACGTCTCAAAACTGAAGTACAGAGGGATTGCGGCTCGATTGCTACCAGCGATCCGACATTTGAGTCGACTCAAAGGACAATCGCGGCTGCCTGGTGACGTAGCAGACGGATTGCGGCTCGATTGCTACTAGCGATCCTACTTCCACTAGCAGTAACAGCTTTAGTCGGATTGTCGTATTGCGACACGTGCAGCGAGGCGTTGTCTTAGATCAGGGCGACTCGGAAGGTAGGAAGGGGGAGGGAGGGGAGGGGGCGCAATGCGATGACGGGTTATTGTTGAGAGTGAGCGAGGCGTTCGGTGATAGGCCAGAATTACGGCTCGAAGCGGGTGCTGAATTGTACACTACGGGACAGCATCTGCTCCGTTCGAGCAATGTGACCAGGCTTGGAGGAAATAGGAGACGCCGGGCGCGGTGCGACGCCTAGTGCGCTCACACGTGTGAGTCCTTGTGCGACCCCAAACACAGGGTTCGTGTAGAGCTGGATGGATAGCGGAATTCCACGGGTAGAGTGCTTTGATCTGTCATGCTGCAAGCGGGCATCGGCTGGCGGCGATCATCTGTTGTTTGGTCCTACCGCCTTTGTCATTTCTCGCGCTGAATCCCTCCTGGCATTTGGTCCTTCAATACCCGATATAAACCTCTCAACTGACTAGCTATCAGCCAGGACACATACCGAAGATGTACGCGTTGAAATATAATCACACCTTTGAACCGAAGCAAATTTACACTTGTGAATGTACTGTGGTGTACTTGCTTTTGTCTGTAACACTCGAAATCCCTATTGAAGCTTTGCCGCCGTTATATTTCCCGTTGACCTGAACATTGCCCCAACCAATGCCACGTCGCAATCACTGATTTGCAGGAAAGCTGCCTATCAGACTGACGAACCTGACGTGATTCACGCCAGAGAATGTAAACCGTCAAAAGTTTTTCAGGAGCCCAACCCAACGCACTAAAAATGGTCTCCCGCTAAAGTTCCAGGTGTTCGGTCAGAGCTGACAAGAAAGCATTGGGATAGAAATCGTTTCAAGACCAGAGACGCCAATCTCATCAAGTCGAGCAAACGTCAAGAGGAACAAATGTCAGGTCGGTCGGTGTATTCCGATGTCGCGCCGCGCATTGTGTGAGATCGCACGACCTTGTCAACTGTCGCATGTGTGGGCACTTCCCACAGTTTCTGGAATTGGCGTGTGTGCGATTGACACAAGCCACAGTGACTGATTGCAAACACGCCAGGTCAAATGTGACTGCAGTGGTTTGCAATTCATTTGTACGTCTCACGGTCATCGTCAAATTACGGAAAACCCTATCCAACGCGACATGCTTCACCTCACCCCCGTGACCAACACGTCTCCAAGCGGTCGCTTTCTCTAAGCATTCCATTCAAACCGTTCATCATAACAAACAAACATATCCTAAAATATTAATAACCTCTCTTAACCTCTGTGAAGTCAAATCCCTCAGAGAAACATTTACACTCATTTCATCTCTTCTGTTGAGCACATCTCTGGTGTCCATGAAAACTCCCCTTCCCCCCACCACAGTCATTCCCCCCTGGACCAGCCTTCCCATGGATCATTAGACACAACAGGGACCACATGAAGCCATCAGGACGCTGTGCAGCTGTGAGAGGTAAGCTGCATGTGCAGTGAGTTTTCCTTTTCTGATAAGGGCCATCGAGCTCCGCCCTAGCCTCACACTGAAGTAAGGTAGTAAATGAAGAAACAGATCACCGTCAAGCTAAATGCCTGCAAGACCACCCGCATCCCTGGCTCGCCCCGATCAGTAGTGGGTTCAGTCAACTTATCAGAACCAGACGTCCGATATCTTCGTCGTCAGATGCGTTCTTCCTCTCCTGGTAGACTAGCGGCGATAACCGCGGTATCAGATAGTTCTCCCATGCACGCCCACTTTTGACGCGCTTCGAAGGGCTCGCGGCGATGGCGGCATCGGGCAGAACTCCCGTGGGAGTCCAGCGAAGCGTTACGGAAATCTCTCTGGCGGAGCGCCGCCGCAATCGCGTCGGTCGCATTACTCCGCTCGCCGTCCCCAAGCCGTGTGGCTTTGACGAGATCAATAGTGTTACTTCCGACAATGGCCCGCCGGATTACGCGGCAGAGTTAGCATCATCATCATCGTCAACCTCCCATGGCTTTCCGCCTTACCGATTTGGCGAGCCTTCCGTCACGCGGCGCAGATCGCCCGAATCGCCCGCCTCCCGCGTTCATCGAGATTCCAACGTCGATCGCGATTTTACACCACTGCGCGAAAACCCCATTCATTGCCACTCGAGTAGCAACAACAGCAGTTATTTGCCGTCTTTCACTGACTTGATCGACTCCTATGCGCCCCCGCCTCCGCCTCCGCTCCCATGGAATCTCTCCGCGCTCGTCAGTCCGCGCATGCCTCCCCCGCCCGCGTGGCGCAGCTCCCGCGCATTCTCATCCAGCCCGCTTACGCTGTCGGAATCTCCCGGCGGCGGCGGTACAGGCGGGACTGGCGGCGCGGTGGCGCACGTTCTCCCGATGTGGGCCCCCGCATACCCGCAAGGGGTTCACCCGCGCCCGCAACTGCACCCCCCGCGCGCGCAAGCGCAAGAGCATGTGCACGCGCAGACGCAGCAGCGCCTAGCGCCGCCGCGCGCACGACCTCCGCCGCTCACGGTGGAGGAGCTGGCGGCGCAGCGTTTCCTGGCAGAGCTAGGGGGAGCGGAAGCCGCCGTGGCGGAGTCTCTCGCGCAACACCGCCATCCGCGGAGCACCCGCGCAGACCGCCCAAGCCCCAGCAGTGGGAAGCCAACAGGGCTGCCGGCTAGCCGGCATGGTAACAGCCAATCAAGGAGCTGCGGGTTTCAAGAAGCGGAAACACATGGTGGCATGCGGGGGAATCGTATGGTTCCATGCGACGGGTACTCACCAGTAGGCCCGTTTGGGAACTCGACGACCGGGGACTCGAAGAGGGACTCACCAGTAGGCGTTACACTTGCGAAGCCTAGCACGCTTGGACGGTCCGACGAGCGCGCCGAGTCGAGTCAAGCCCATGAGGGCCACCGTTATCCAGATCCTCGCTATTCAGATCCCCGCTATCTTGATCCCCGCTATAGTGATCCCCCCTATGTTGATCCCCGCTATAGTGATCCTTGCCGGAGGTTGCAGCGGCACCAGACGTGGAATTGCGCGGACGACCGTCGCGCGCGGAGGAGCGGATGGCGGGACGTGGCCGCGGAGCCCAGGGGGGGGATCGGGCACGCGGCGACGCCCCAGGGGAGGAGCGGACACGCGGCGGAGCCGAGGGTACGGCACGTGGGAAACACGCGCGAGTGGGCGGCGCGCAGCGGATTGAAACTTGACACGTCAGTGACAGTTTTCGACGCGCGTCAAGAATCGACTGGGACGGGGGACCGGGCGACGGCGCTGCGCGGCAGTATCGAGACGAGCAGCTGGGAAGGTACGCGCGACGGTGGAGTCAGAGAACGCACTGGGCCCGACGATTCAGTAAAGAACGACGGTTGTGAGACCCTGTTGGGAGAACGCTGCTTCCTCTCGGAGACTGTTAGGCTGGGGAGGGGAGTGTCCCTGGAGAAAGTGAGGAGGAGGGGGGGGGTGGAAGAAATGTCACACAGTTAGGGTGTGTTGCGATTTCTGAGTCGACTCAAATGTGCAGGAACGTGGTAGAGCTGAAGCTGCGGAGGTGCAGCGTGTGTTCGTGTCTCATGACCTCCCCTTCCGCTCACGCTCCCTTCTCTTCCCACCCCGCTCGCCCCTTTCTCCCCTACGCAGAGGCGGCGGCGGCGCGGTTCCTCCAGCTGTCGCGCGCCAACGTGGGCATAACTGCAATGGACCTCACACGCTAACATGCTCACATGCTCGCATGCCCTTATCACTATCCTCTTGCACCCTTCCACCCTCCCGTCGTTTCGGTGCTGTGCGCAGAGGTGGAAGCGCGGTGCAGGCAGCTGTCGCACGCCAACGTGGACATAACCGCAATGGACCTCACGCACCTGCCGCCCTCCCCTGCTCCAACTCCCACAACCGCTACTCGTTTCTCACGCCCTCTCCCGCTCCTCTCCCCGTCCGCCGCCTCTGCTGCCGCCTCTGCCGCGGCCTCTGCGTTCAAATCCGTGTCACGGGCTGCCCTCGCCATCACGTCCCCTCGCTCTGACCCCCGTTCGGGCCTGCCCCTCCCTAGTCCTAGGGGTATGCTAAACCTGCCTAGTCCGAGAAGTCTTTTGAGTCTGCCTAGCCCCAGGGGCATCCTCAGTCTCGCCTCCCCTGGTTCTACCCGGACTAAGCAGCGCCCGCAGTGGCAGCAGCAGGAGGAATGGGTCGAGGAGAGGGGGGCGATTGGGAAAGGAGAAGGGATTAATGAGGGGGGAGGGATTGGGGAGGAGGAAGCGATTGAGGAAGGGTGGGAGCAGGATGAGGAGCAGAACGGCAGGACGCAGCAGCAGATGCAACGATGTGTGGGAGGAGAGGAGTGGCGGCAGCAGGAGCAGCAGCAGCATCAGCAGTCACGGGAGCAGCAGAGACGTGAGGAGAAGCAGCAGCAGCAGCAGATGGTAGGAGAGGCGAAGCAGCAGCAGATGACAGACGCAAAAACTCAGCAGCAGTCAGCGAGGGAGGAGCAGGGCAGCTCAAGCCCTCGGATGCAATCGCTGTGCCCTTCCTCGTGCCTGCCCCCCCTTCCCACCCCCCCTCTGCTCTCGCTCCCCTCGCTCAAAAGAAGCTCCTCTGGGCGCAAGGCAGAAGCGCAGGCAGGGGTATCAGCGTCAAGAGCACAGGCACGGACCAGAGCAAAAGTGAAGGCAGAGGGGAGGGTTGAGGCGAGGGAGGCTGCTGGGTGCACGGCAGAAGGGGATGGGGTGGGTGGTGGTTTGGAAGGGAAGGTAGAGGTGTGTGGGATGGGGCAGGCGGGAGGCAGAAGTCAATGCTTGTGTGGTAACCGCGACCACCACTGTGGCAGCTCCGAGTGTGGTGTGGGGAGTGGTGGAGGAATAGGTGTGAGGATGAGTGGGAGGAGGAGTAGGAGCGAGGTGACCAGCTGGAGTGGGGAGGTGGGAGTGTGGGGCCGGATCAAAGGCACTGCTCGGAGGTCTGGCAACCTGGACCTCGCTATAAGCAGACTCAGGGAATTCGCTTTTGCGCACGGCTACTGCAATGAGGGAGTACAGGAGAGGGATGGTGGTGATGGGTGTATGGGAGCATCATGTGGGGGCAATGATATGGCAGCGTGCTCGAGCAGCAGTGGGAACACTGTCAGGAATGGCAGCAACATGCGCAATCGCAGCAACACGAGCAGCGGTGGGGGCGTAAGTAGCAGTGGGAAGAAGAGCAGCGGTGGTGCTAGAAGGAAGGAGGGAGTGCAGCAGCGAAGGCCGGCCCTTGAGGGGGGAGGCTCTGTTGAATCACTCGACTCGCTGGGGTCTCCGTCTGTGCGGGTGGCCGACTGTGCGACCCCGCACGGGCTTTCAGTTTCCGTGCCGAAGCAGGACGGGAGGGATGGGCAGGATGGGCTGAAGGGGTGGAGGGGAGGTGATAGAGAGGGTGGCAGGGAGAGCAGTGGAGGCAGAGCAGTGCGACGCGGTGAGCAGGTGGAGGGGCGAGAGGAGGAGGAATTGCGGCGTGTGCTGTCGTTCACTGAAGGCACTGTTCAAGAGAAGAGGGGAGGTGGCTCTGCCTGTTGTCATCGCACTGCTGCTGCTGCTGCTGGTCCTCCCACACATCTCCCCTGCTCCTCCATCTACTCCTCTGGTCAACTCACCACTGCTAAATCGTCATCCCTCTCATCCCGCCAGCTGAGCATCACAACCTTCTCACTCTCCTCACCAGCTAGTTCCATCCCCACAGGCTCTCACAACCTCGTACACTCCTCCCACCTCACCTACCCCGACTATTTTGACTGCCCCAAGTATCTTGACAATTCCGTCTGCCCTGACTGCCCTGACTGCCCGGATTGCCTTGACTACCCCGAACCCCCTCTCTCTGTGTGCTCCACTCACTCGCTGCCCTCCACACACTCTGTAACCACTGCTGCCGGCTTCTCTCGCTCCAGGACTATCAGGGCTGCAAGTCTTCCCCCTGTAGAGTTAAGCAGGCCAGCTCTGCAGCCCAGAGACGGTGCAGCAGTAGTTGCAGCAACTAGAAGCGGCCCTTTGTTCTGAGACCTTATAGTGGATTAGGAGGCATATCATTAGTTGGATTGTTGAGACCAGTTGCAGCAACTAGAAGCAGCGCTATATGTGGAGACCTTACAGTGGATTCGGAGGCATATCATTGGTTGGATCAGCCAGCAGCTTCCGTTTGAATGCTGTCTGGCGCTCTTTGCCGGTTAATGTTACTCTTAGACGTATGCCTTGGCATAAGGAAGTTGGAGAGCTGAAGGGTTGATGTCAAAAACATATTTCCATTCTATTGTAATATGAAACGAAGGGCATGTGTTGGCTAGGTCGTTACTGGTCACCTGAGTCCCTTGAAGCTTATGCTCATAACGAATTTCCTCTAAGTTCAACCTTCGACTAGGTACTAGTAGGCTAGTAGCCCCGAAATGTGAGAGGATGTGAGTGACGCTGGACGGAAATTCGTGGAATATTGCGGGTAACTGTTTCATTCCCGACTCGCTCTCGCTCTACCATTTCAATCCAACTTCGTCCAGCGATGCATTACTGCTCAACTTCACTACATTCACATCACCTCGATGCAGCGTCTCTCACTGAGCGCCCTCCGCCTCTTCACCCTCTTCATTACTGTCCCCGTGTTTTCCGTTAGCCTTAGTGTCGGCACCGCTTCTGCCATCGACAATTCTGACGGCCAACAAGACGGCTGCACGTGCTACTATGTGCGAAACGATTTCTGCTGCCAGGCCGGCCAGGTCCTCTGCTCCTGCCGGTCCGTCTGTTTTAACGGCGACGCGTTTACAGGCGTCAGCTATGCACCGTGCCGGCAGCCACCGGACGGCTCAGATTCTCTCTTCCCTGATCAGACGACCCGAGCCGTCGATCCACTCATTCCTATTGGCTGCATGGACGGACGCGGTAGGTCGTACAAGGCCGCGCTGCGGCTTATAACGAAGGATAACATGCAGCTACATACGGAGCGGGGGAGAACCAGGCGGAGGAAGCGGCGGAGGGGAAGGGGGAAGGGGAAGGGTAACGACGAACAGGAAGATGACACGTGGCAGGAGGGAACTTCGGCGTTTTTGTTTTTAGACGACTCGGAGGGAAACATCGCGCATTTCGTGCGAAAGGCACATAATCTCCTGCTGCTTCTAAATCAATCTTCCTCCTCCTCGTCCTCCTCTTCCTCCTCGTCCTCCTCTTCCTCCTCTACCTCTTCCTCCCCATCTCTCAACCGCTCCCATCTGCCTCTCCCCGCCCAAAGACTAGTTCTGATTAGATCTGCCGCGTTCAAACGGGTGGCAGGGGCGTATGGAGAACATGGGCTGCATGCGCGGCTGTTGGATGGCATTGTTCGTCTGCTAGTGGATTCAGGGAGCGTCAGTAGTGCTGGGAACAGTGGGGTTTTGGCAAAAGGGAGAATGGACGGTGGGATGAAGCCAGCGGATTTTCTCGATGCGAGATCAACGGTGGCGATGGGAGGAGCGGTGAAGTTTGAAGGGTCTCTTGAAAATGCCACAAGGAATCGTCCAGTTTGCTTCGCCAATGCACTGTTCAGCGGCAATCTCAAGGTGCACTGTTCACCGTCAATCCCAAGGTGCACTGTTCACCGTCAATCCCAAGGTGCACTGTTCACCGTCAATCCCAAGGTGCACTGTTCACCGTCAATCCCAAGGTGCACTGTTCACCGTCAATCCCAAGGTGCACTGTTCACCGTCAATCCCAAGGTGCACTGTTCACCGTCAATCCCAAGGTGCACTGTTCACCGTCAATCCCAAGGTGCACTGTTCACCATCAATCCCAAGGTGCACTGTTCACCGTCAATCCCAAGGTGCACTGTTCACCGTCAATCCCAAGGTGCACTGTTCACCGTCAATCCCAAGGTGCACTGTCTTCTGCAATTCCTCTATGTCAACACACAGTTGCAATCTCAGTTGGAATTCTTGGGAAGCGAGAACGAGTTTGGAGCCACTTGAAGCATCCCGTAGCAACTGCTTGCATGACCTGTGGGGAAATGGATGGTCTGGATTGGTCCCCGTCATCTCGCGAGCAACTGCTTGCATGACCTGTGGGGAAATGGATGGTCTGGATTGGTCCCCGTCATCTCGCGAGCAACTGCTTGCATGACCTGTGGGGAAATGCAACAAACACAAGCTTCACTGCTGTTTCCTCTCTTGCTCCTTTCTCCCATCCCAGCCAGGGCTCACATACAGCACTCTCCTTCCTCCATCCCTCCCCTTCCCACTCGGTGACATTTGAGTCGACTCAAACGTCACCACTCTCCTTCCTCCGTCCCTCCCTTTCCCACCCCCGTAACACTCTCCCTCCCCCTTGTCTCTCGGCCAGGCATCAGCTTATCCAGGCACTCTCCCCCTGCTGCCCGCCCGCCTGCACTCCCACCTGCGCCACACCCTGTCACCACCTAACCACCTCACCCCAACCCTCAATTTCACCCCCACCACCAATCCCTCTTCGACCTCCTCCACCTCCCCCTCCACCTCTCTCCCGCGTCTACTCTACATTCGTCGCACCGTCGGCACCAACAACAGCGCCAGCAGCCACGCCGCCCGGCGAGCATTCAACCAATCAAGCGAGGCGGCCTTCCAGTCCCTCCTTGCCTCGCTGCCAGGTGTCGCCGTGCAAGTGGCGGACTTCGCCAGGCTGTCATTCGCGGAGCAGTTTGCGCTGGTACAGGGGGCGGACATCATTGTGGGGTTACACGGGGCTGGTCTCACTCTAGCTTCGGCTTTCAATCACGCACCCTCCACTGCCGCCGCCGCCGCCGCCGCTGCTGCGACTGCAACTGCGGCCCAAAGTGACCCCTCTCCCCTGCGCCCCACGATACCAGTCGTGGTGGAAATCCAGCCGTACAAGGTACAGCACATAATATTCGAGGGCATGGCCAAGTCAGCAGGCGCGCTCTACCTGCTGCACCAGTGCCACCGCGGCCCCACCGACCAACCAGGCGACGCCACATTTGCACACGTCAGCCGGGAGGCCTGTCGGCGGCGGCTCGAGTGCCGGGACCACTTTGTGCAGTCGCGATTCGTGGAGCTGACTCAGCGCGACGTGGCATCGCTTCGGCGGTTGTTGGAAGTGGCTCGGGATTTCGTTACCGAGGGTCTGAGAGCAGCAGAAGCAGTTGAGGGTCTGAGAGAGGCGGCTCAACCGTACAAGGTGGCGGATTCTGTCGCAGGAGGGAATACACGCACGGGGAAAGGAGTCAGTGGTAAAGGCGTCGGCAATGAGAGAAGGGCGCTGCACTCCATGAGAGCTCTCCACGCCCCTGGAGATACTGCAAGCGCCGAGGAGGACTCTCTGAGATCAGGAGAGAGCAAGGGGCGGTCATGGGGCCTCTGGGGTTTGTTGATAGGTGGAAGGGACGGAGGAAGAGAGACAGCAGGGCAGGGCACACAGCAGGGTGCACAGCAGGCCGTAGGTGCAGGTGAAGGGGTTATGGCAGATGCAGTGGGTGACAGTGAGAGGCATGCGCAACAAGTAAGTGGGAAAACAGCAGGGCACACGGCAGATGCGCTGTGGGCTGGCATTCGGCACGGCATGCAGGGAGGTGGGGAGGGAGGAGGAAGTGAGGGAGGAGGAAATAGGGGAGGAGGAAATAGGGGAGGGGAAAGGGATGACAGGACAAGGTTAGCAGAAGTACCTGAAGCAGCACAAGAAGCAACGGTGCATGCGCAATCTGCACAAACACCAGAGGCAGCTGCACAAGCAGCACAAACACCAGACACTGGAGCGCTCGTGGCACAAGCAGCACAAGCAGCACAGATAGCGTGGGTGAGGGGGTGGATGGAGAGGGAGTGTGGCGAGTGGATGAGTGGGACGGACAACAACTGTCGTGTGGAGGCCGTGCGATCGCCCCATGTGCGCCCGGGGGAGAGGTGTGTGCTCGCTGCTGATGACTGCTGAGCTGACCACTGCTGCTGGCTGGTGGAAATACAGTAGCTTGCTGCTGCTGCTGCTGATGGTATGTGCACGTACCATGGCACGAGCTTCATCATTGAATCAGCGGGTTTGAATGCATCTGCCCTTGCCAGCAAAATTTTCATGGTGTAGACAATGACATATCAATGACATGCATGCAATACATAAAGCTTCCATGTAGGCAAAGCTTTCATACTGGTATAAATCTTTAAGGCATAAAACTTACACCAACATTCCATTCGCAAAATAGCTTCTCTTTGTGGTACTAGGTAGTACCACCAAGGCACAGACACCAACATCAACAGTAGAAAACAAATGCATGCCGAGGTACAAAGACGGAAAGAGCTGAAAGAGCTACACAGATAGCCACAGCCACAGCTGCCACAGGCTGACTGCATCCCATAATCCCCGTCCTCTCCCCCCTCTCTCTCTACCGCCGGTCGGTCTTCCCAATTCCTCTCTTCCCAGCGAACAGATGCTTGGGGCGCACGTTCACAATCGTGCGGTCCGCCTCGCCCTTCTTGCTCTGCACGTTCCGCTTCTTCGAATGCTTCCGCGCCAGCTGAATCGCCCCCACCTTCTGCTCCGTATCTCTGAACCCCTCCCCAGGCACCGCCTCCGCAGCCAGCGCCGACGCCGTCCCGCCTATCCTCCCCAGCGACTGGGACCGCGATCGCGACATGTGCCGGATTCTCTTCCTCAGCCTCTCCTCGTTCCCTTCATCCAACTCCATCCCCTCCTCCCCTTCCTCTCTCCCTTCCCTCCCCTCCCGCTTCCCTTCCCGGCCCCGGGAAACCCCCCGTCTCCCCCTCCCCTCCTCCCCATCCACCTCCATCCCATCTCTAGCCATCGATCTGCTCCTCTTCCTCCCCTTGGCCACCGTGCCACCACCACTAACGTCCCCGCCCTCCCCGGTTTTGCCGGCCTTGATGCGCGCGAGGGCAGCGGAGGGGTCGAGGCCGATGGAGGAGAGCTCCTGCCGCATGCGCTCTGCTGTGAACTGCCGGCCCGTGTCCGCGTGGCGCGGCAGGATTGGCCGGCTGTCGGTGACGCTGCGCTGGCGATGACGATGTGTTATGAGACGCTTCTTCTTCAGCCTGGACGGGTGGGAGGTGGGGAGGGGAACGGAGCAGGAAGCAGGGAAAAAGTGCAGAGGAGGGCAGAGAGGGGCAGAGAGGGGCAGAGAGGGGCAGAGGAGGGTGAGTGAGTTCGAGAGCAGGTATGGGCCGAGGGCAGCGGAGGGGTCGAGGCCGATGGAGGAGAGCTCCTGCCGCATGCGCTCTGCTGTGAACTGCCGCCCCGTGTCCGCATGGCGCGGCAGGATTGGCCGGGAATCCGTCACGCTGCGCTGGCGATGGCGGTGTGTGATGAGGCGCTTCTTTTTCAGCCTGGAGGGGTGCGGGGAGAGGGGGGAAGGGAGGGTGGGAAACGGGGTGGGGGATGCGGGGGGCAACAGAAAACGAGGAAAGTTTGAGATGTCTCAAAATATGAGGGGACGGTGGTGGTGGTGGCGGTGCGTTGATCAGGCACTACTTCTTCTCCAACCCACCTCCTCACTCGCCCAGGCGTTATCTGGTCCATGGCCTCGCCCCACTGGCCCTCACCATTCCACTCAGTCTATAAATCTCAAACGAGTCAAACGCCAGCCCCACACCCACCTGAAGGCAGCCAGAGCCTCAGCCTCAGCCTCCTCTGACACCACGTTCTCCTCCTCGTCCTCCATGGCCTTGCTCCACTCGCCCTCGCCCACACCCTCCGCCTGTCCCCCCCGGCCCCCAAACCCCAGCCCCACCAAAACTCCAAGCCCCAATCCCCATCCCCCAACCATTGACCCACCTGATGGCCGCCAGAGCCTCAGCCTCCTCCAGCGCCAGGTCCTCCTCCTCGTCATCCATAGCCTCGCCCCACTCGCCCTCGCCAACCCCCTCCGCCTGTTCCCACCAGCCCCAGCAGCCCCCAACACCCCCAAAACCCCCAACACCCCCAAAACCCCCAACCCCCCAGCCCAAAGCTTACCTGATAGCAGCCAAAGCCTCGGCCTCCTCCGGCGCCAGGTCCTCCTCCTCATCATCCATAGCCTCGCCCCACTCGCCCTCACCGACCCCCTCCGCCTGCTGCTCCATCTCCCACTCCTCCCGCTCCAGCTCCTCCAACCTCGCCAGAATATCTGCATCCACGAAATCCGCAATGTTCTTCCCGTCCATAATCTCCGGCACCACGTCGTGCCGCCACGTGTCGTCGCCCAACAGGTACGGCCGCGTGTGATCCGCCACGTAGGCGCCAGCGCCGCCCAGCTCCTCTTGATAATCCTTCTCCAGCTTGCGGCCTTCGGAGGGTTTGACGCCCTTGGCCTGCCGGTCCAGAACCGCTTGTGGGATGACTGGCGGGCGCGGCTTGCTGTCTCGCGGGCGCGGCATGGCTACGTGGATTCGGTTTGCCACATCTTCGACTCGCTTGCTGCGCATCTTGGCCTCAACACGCATCTGGAATGAAGAGGGAGAGGGGAGAAGGGAAGGAGGCGAGGTTGGGAGAGAGGGGTGAGGAAACGAGAGGGGAAGGCCCGCGCCGCCCAGCTCCCCATCTCCTCCTGGTAGTGCTTCTCCAGCTTGCGCCCCTCGGAGGGTTTGACGCCCTTGGCCTGCCGGTCCAGAACCGCTTGTGGGATGACTGGCGGGCGCGGCTTGCTGTCTCGCGGGCGCGGCATGGCCACGTGGATTCGGTTTGCCACGTCTTCCACCCTCTTGCTCCGCATCTTGGCTTCCACGAGCATCTGGAACGAGGGAGGAGGGAGACGGGAAGAGGGGAGGAGGCGAGAGGTTGGGCGGAGGGGAGGAGGGGAGGATGGGAAGGAGGGGGAGGAAACGAGAGAAAAAGGCCTGCGCCACACAGCTCCTCCTGAAAGTGCTTCTCCTATCTCACCTTCAGCACACAGCATCCAATGATCACCCTGCTCTGTCAGCACTTCACACCCTACCCTGTCAGCACACAGCACACAGCACCCCATTCTAACCCAACCCACGTGCAGCAGTCGTTCGCACGCGGCGCTCTTGACAGCAGCGCTCTTGACAGCAGCGCTCTTGACAGCAGCCACGTTACCATCAGTCATGGTGCTCATCGTCAGCACACACACACCCCGCCCCACCCCGCACCCTGCTCCATTACCTATCTAAAACCCTGCAACAATCGATTTTTGAGGACTTTTGAGGCGCCTCAAAAACCCTACCAGCGCCCCATCATCTCACCCACCCACCCACCCACCTGCAACAATCGCTCGCAAGCGGCGTTCTTAACAGCAGCAACATTGACATCAGTCATGGTGCTCATGGTGAGCAGACACCCCGCGCCATCACCGTCACCCATCACCGCCTCCATCGCCCCCTCGCCTCCCTCAGCAGTAAGAGGAGGAGCGATGCCGGGGCCGCCGCACCGGGCGGCTTCAGCCGCCATCTCTTGCAGAATCTTCCGGTCGGCTTCCGAGAGCGTTTCGAGCGGCTGAAGGTCCACCTTGTTGCACACCACCATCAGCGGCTTGTTCAGGAAGAGGGGCTGTTTGTAATGCGGAGAATGGGGTGGGGAGGAAGGAGATAAGAGCAGAAAGAGGGTGGGACTGAGGAGCTGGTTCCAATCTGAGAGCGTTTCGAGCGGCTGCAGGTCCACCTTGTTGCACACCACCATCAGCGGCTTGTTCAGGAAGAGGGGCTGTTTGATACAGCTTGATTCCTTCGAAACCTTTGTTACATGAGGCCGCACAGCCTGTCTGAGCATGCTGCATGCAGGTCACTCACGGACCTTAATGGAGTTGAAAAGAGCCGCCTGCTGCTCCAGCGTGTACCCGCAGCTGCCAGACGCGTCCACCACGAACAGCACAGCCGCCCGCAGATGAGCCAGCGCCGTGACGGCGAGCATCTCAATGGTGTTGCGCTCCTCCAGTGGATGATCGAGAATACCGGGGGTGTCTATCACCTGGTCAATGGTGAACGGGACGGGAGACAGCAACAGCAGGTGGAATGGGAGGGGCCCAGGGGAAGCAGGAATGAATCAAGACATAGTATTCAGACAGCAGGTACTTGTAATCCGTGTGTCTACTATCTCTTTATCTGCGCAGGTACTTTTAATCTGTGTGCCACATGAAGAGCGACTTGGTTGTGAAGGCGTACGGCTCGTGGTGTGGCTCGGGTCAGCTCTCACAACACGACACACCCACACCAGCCCGTGAAGCAGCAATGCAACCCCAAACCCTCTCACCTGCCTGCCAGCGCAAACCCCAAGCCCTCACACCTGCCATGCCAGCGCAGTCCCCCAAACCCTCTCACCTGCCAGCGCAGGTACTTGTAATCCGTGTGCCCGACGAATCGTTTTTAGTTTTCTAACACAAGTTGACAAGCACACCAAAAATCGTTTGGGTGTCGGCTTCGCACCTTGCCGAACCCGCAGCCGTACACGTGGTGGTGAAGGCGTACGGCTGCACCTCCACGTGCACCACCTTGCTGCTACTCACCACCCCACTCCACCCCACCCCACCCCACCCCACCCCACCTGCCAGCACAGGGACTTGCTTTGCGAGTGCCTCATGACGACTGACCGTCACCAGCCAACCATCCCAATCCCAAACCCTCCCCAATCCCAACCCCAGAAACTACCAAAGCCTTTTCTCACCTGCCAGCGCAGGTATTTGTAATCCGTGTGGCCGACAAAGAGCGACTTGGTGGTGAAGGCGTACGGCTGCACCTCCACGTCCGCGCGCGTCACCCCACCTTGCTGCCCACCACAACACCCCATCCCACCCCACCCCATCCCACCCTGAACCACAGAAACCCCCAGAACCTTCGCACCTGCCAGCGCAGGTACTTGTAATCAGTGTGGCCCACGAAGAGCGACTTGGTGGTGAAGGCGTACGGCTGCACCTCCACGTCCGCGCGCGTCACCTTGTTCACAAACGAGCTCTTGCCCACGTTCGGATACCCGCACACCAGGATCGTGCGCGTGTTCGGGTCGATGGAGGGCAGGCGGGACATGTGCTGCCGCACCTGGAAGGAGGAAGAAGGAAGGGAGAGGAATAAAGCACGGCAACGTTTCGAAAAGAACGAACGAGCGCTTGCCCACACGCTCGTTCGAGAGCCCGCACAGCAGGATGGAGAGGAGACGCGATATGTGCTGCCGCTCTGTTCGCTTTGCACCCATATTCGGCTTGCTCCCACGTTCTGTCGCTCGGATAAAGCAACGCGCGAAGACTGGTCGAGTCAAAGTGTGTGCTCCCTCCTGAGATCCCTCTTTCCATCCCATTTTCACCAGGTTTGGTAACAATTCAGAACAGTCAACGCACCTTCTCGCGAGCGAGGTGCCATGCCTCCGCAGCATACTGTCCGAGTCAAACGGCAATTCACCTGTACGAGTCAAACGAGTCAACGCACCTGCTCGAGGTACGCGAGCGACGGGCCCTGCTTGCGCATGAGCGTGCACATGCGGCCGAGCGCGGCGCGCTTGAGCTGCTTGCAACGGTACAGCGAGTCGCCATACTTAAGCAGCCGCACGTACTCCTTGGTGATGCGGTCGATGATTCCGCGCGCCACGTTCACCTGGAACGAGACGAACAGAAAAAAAGGATGTTTGGGGGGGAAAATTGGTGGGATAAGAAAACTTGAAACGTTTACGAATATCATCAAAGGGCTACCCAAGAACTGCGCAAATGTATCAAGATTCCCACGACGGAAATGGGTTCCACGCTCTGTGTAAAACCCCCTTCCTATTAAACCCTCCACCCGAAACCCCGGCGTGGTTCCTCATTCCCCCGTCTCCTCGTCCCTAAATCTCTCGTTCCGTTACCTGTCCAAGCGCGAGCTTGTAGTGATCCTTATCGTAGAGCACATTAAGGAGGTCGCCATAGAACGGATGGATCTCCTCGAGCCGCGGAAAGTCGTCAAGAATCGTCGTGAGCTTGTCGTGGAAAGTCTGCTGCGTGAACTTGACCTTGCGCATGTAAAACTGACGGATTCTGTTAACGGCGCTGCCCTTGTGGATCACCGTCGGCGTGCCGCGCTGCGTTTTGGACAGAACGATGTCGACAAAGTCCTTGGCGGTGGGGACCACCGTGATTCGCTTGAAATTATACTGCACCATCGTGGCGGTCGGATTGGCCGGATCGGACGGACGAAAACACGGCGTTCGAAAACGTCTAAAATATAGACCGAGAACCTTTAAAGCCCGCTCGAGTTGTAAGAAACGGACGGGCGAGGAGAAAGAAGGAAGCTAAGCTAATAGGAGAAGAAACTACTGCGGCCTGGACGCTCACAATTCGCAATTCACGAACCGCCTTTGCTACAGCTTCCGTGGAGAGCGGCAGCGAACAGGCAATTGTCTTGGAAGGCCCGAAGGCCTGCGAGCAGAAAAGGAGCAACAAGGAGCTGGCGGAAAACCCTAAATGCCGAGCTCGAAGGAGTGGGGTTCTGGCGAGTAGCCACAAACGCGTACATTGTGCTGTAGGTTTGAGATGTACGTAATAATTAATGGCATTACAGTAACCGTCATCTCCATTGGAATTATGACAAACCAGCAACTTCACCTCCGGATTATGCTAACAGGTATTGGCAGATCATGTGTACTAGCAAACGTTGCTGAATATTCAGCATGAAATTGCGAGCTTAGCAACCACAATTTCTGCACTAGCCCGTAGTCAGGAGTCAGGAAAGCAAATTTGCAAAACTGGACGAAACCAAAACAAACTCCAGCAAATCCAGCACAGTAGTAGCCGCCTAACTAGACCGTGCCTGTACAAGCCGACCGACCTTGCTCCTCCCTTTAGAGGCACCTCCTAAAGCACAAGCATAAGCCACGCTCTAACCTCCGCTTGTCACCATCACCACAACACTTCCACCCATCCCTCCCCGCACCTCCTCCTCCTCCGCCCCACCTTTACCCATCCGCCCTGCATTCACTCTCTCTGACCTCCCACCCCCATCAGCCCCAGAAAACCCTGCAGCAAATCCCCTGGTCCCACTCTGGAAAAACCTTTCCATGCTGCTCGCATCAAAGCCCGAGAGAATCGACACTACAACCGGTTCAGGCTGAGCGAACGCACCTTGCTGGCCAAACCCACTCTGCTGCTGACCGGGCACTGCAACAGGGACCGACCGAATCGGATTCCCCTCAGTAGTTGCATTGTGTTCCAAGCTGCCTCTAATATCAAAATTCCTCGTGCTGCTGGCAACATTACTCCTTACCCCACCATCAGGCTTGGTGGCTGAACTGGCAGAGTCCAGAGAGGGGGGCAGGAGGGGAATGGCCTGGTTGGAGTCAGGCAGAGGGATAGCCTGCTTTGACGCTGGCAGCTCGTTCAAATACCGCCTCCGTAGGAACATGCGGCGGGACAGCACCGGCACAGGCACAGGCGGGAAGTGCTCTTTGCTAGCCTCCCCAGTGACCCTGCTGCTGCTGCTCACAGTGGCTGTGGTTGTGGTGGCAGCTGTGGCAGAGTTGAGATGTGTCACACCCGCAATGTTGCTCCCACTGCCTCTGCGTCTGTCTGTGGCACTGGAGTTAACACGGCTGCTGCCCGCACAGCCACCAGACGAGTTCCTCTTGCTGCTGCTGCCCGCTGAATGTGTCGTTGCCTCTCCTGCTTCATCCTGTGCCTCTCCCTCCTGCGCCGCGTGGCTTGGCTGAGAGTCAAACCGGAAGAGCTCGGTGCATGTATGCGACTGGAACAGCGGGCCTGTACCAGAATACACAATGCAGGAGAGGCGGTATGAAGGGGAGGAGGGCAACGGAGTGTGATTGAGCAAACAATCCACCATCCTACCAGGCTAAAGAGGGATCCAATGACTAAAGAAAAGAAACAAACAATAAACGGAAAGAGGTATCGATCTTGGAATCAAGTGGAACAGAAACACACAAGGCCATTCCATGCCCATTTTGTGGATGCAACCCTTGCATAGCAGGTGCTTCCGCATCTCCCTCACCTGAGCTGTGCTGCAGCAGCCACTGCTGCCAGTGCTGCTCATCCCATGGCGACGAACCCTCCACTGCTGCTGCTCCTGGTAACGCACCCGCCACGCGACCACCACCACCGCCAACCCTAGCTCTCAGCCCCACAGAGGCACTGCCACCGCTACCACCACTGCCACTCCCGCTCACCCGCGCACCATAAGTGCCACCACTGCTGCTGCCCGAATGGCCAGCACTGTCACCGCTGCCACCACTGCCACCTCTCCCAGCGCCTGCTGACTGGCTTCTGAGCGCGCTGGCAGGTGACCACTGCCGCCACGGCACAAGGGCCTTGCCTGCCGCCCTGACTCCCTCTGCTGCCGGCCTGCCTTCCCTAGCCCTATCTGCTGTAACCCTCTGTGCTGTAACCCTGTCCGCTGCAGCCCTGCCGGCTGTGAGGTTGGGTACCTGGCCGCGTGACACCGCTGCAAAGGAGGGGAACCGCTGCTGCTGCCTGTCGGCTGCATGCACCTCCCTGTCTGCTGCCGGCTCCGCCTTGTGTCTCCACAACGGATTCATATCGGACGAGTGCAGAGTACGACCCAGCAGCGTCTGCGCCACTGAATCGCTCATGCTGCCATTCCCCTTGCCCCTCCACCAAGCGCCCATTCCGTCCCCTCCGACAGACTGTCTCCCCCCGTCCCTGCCCTCTTCCTCCCCCAGACCCAGCAGCACCCGTCCTCCGGGTCTCATCACCCCACCCCCTCCCAATCCTCCCTCCCACTCTGCCCCCTGCGCCACCCCTCCCCTCCCCTCGCCCCTCGGCGCGCCGCCGCCCCACCAACGCCACCCGTCGCGCCAGACCCCGCCCATTCGCTCCCAACTACCAGCCCCGCTGCCCTGCCAGCTCATAACGCTGCTCTGCCAGCCTGGATACGTCGGCGCCACGCCACGTGTCAGCCCGTCGTTGGACGGCAGGAAAGGGCAGAGGATGAGGAGGAAACCGAACATGGCGAGTGCGAGAGCGGGTGCCTTGGCGGCGGATACGGCACGGGGTGGCGAAGAGGGCCTGCCAGGGCTGGTATCTTTAGCACTAGGTGCAGTAACCCCAGCACCCGCAGCACCAGCAGCAACAGCAGCACCAGCAGCAACAGCAGCACCAGCAGCAACAGCAGCACCAGCAGTAACCACATGCGCATCCCCTTCCTTCTTCTGCTTCTTCGCGCCCCTGTCCTTTTCCCCCCCGCCCGCCTTCGCGCCACTCCCCCCAGGCGCGCCTTTCTTCTTGCGCGCGGATTCCGGGCGGCTAACGTGCTTCAGCTTCGGAATCGGGACAGGCGGAGCGGGGGGGAACAAACCGCGTAACCCTAACGCCCCGAGTGGTAACCCTATTCCCCCCATGCTTCCAATCCCAGCCAGCCCTCCCAGGATCGGAGGAACAAGGCCTGGCGAGACTGTAGAAGGCGCTACAGCCGATGCTGCCGAACCTTCACGTCTGCGTCGACCCGAGCCTCGTGCCGGGCCTGATGCGGCAATTCCGGAACCTAGCGCACCCGCCGACCCTGCAGCAACGCCGGTTCCAGCTGCTGCAGCGGCGGCGGCGGCGGAGGCAGCGGAAGGGGAGGAGTAGAAGAAGGCGAGCTGGCGGCGGAGGCTGACGTTCTCCGCGGTGAGATGCGCGACGGCGGAGTTGAGTTCCGCCACCGCCGCGGACATGGTGCGGATCTGCGCCTCCAGCTCGTCCATGTAGTACTGCCGGGGGGAGGGGCAAGGTGGGGGGAAGCGGGAAGGGGAGGTGGGTAGGGGGCAGAGGAAAGGGGGAAAGGGGTGGGGAGAGAAGGGAGGGGAAGAGGTTTAAGTTTCACAGAGCGTGCTGCGGGACGGACGGACATCAACCTGCTGAATTGCGCACGGACGGAACTCGGCGCGGATCAAACGGGAGGCGATGCAAAATTACCTTCTTTCGTTGCCGCGACAGTTGCGCGCTCTCCCGATTTCTGATCAGCCTCGCCTCCCGCTTCTCCGTCTCCGGATCCCTCTCCTCCCCCTCCCCTTCCCCCTCCCCCTCTCCGCCCTCCCCGCCCTCCCCGCCCGCATCCCCCTCACTCGGCTCGCTGCCCGCATCTTCCGCCGCAACGGCAGCGCCACTCCCGCCACCAGCAACCGACCCCCGCGCCTCTGCTCCCCCGCTTTCGCACTCCTTAACGTTCTCGGCGCCAGAACTTGCGTTTCCAGAGGAAAGACCGCCGTTTGCAACCGTACACGTGGCAGCATCCTGTAGTGTAGAAATTTGGACGGAGGCTGGTGTAGTCGTGGGGAAAGGGAGAGTTTGATTCGAGCATGGGGCGGGCTGGTAACCTGCTGATGCACCACCCACCCATGCTGAATTTCCTAGCTGTTGCAGCTGCTGCTGCTGCTTCTGTAATTGCTTCTGCTGCCGCTGTTGCCGGCGCTGCTGCTGCTTCTGCAATCGATACTGCTGCTGCTGCTGCTGCTGTTGCTGTTGCTGCTGTTGCTGGAAACAAAGACTTACAGACCCCGGAAAAGGCACACCCTGTACTGGAACACTTTGCATCGCAAATGGGCCCGTTATGTGCTGCTGCTGCTGACCAGAACTCGTCTCCTGTTTCACCGAACTCTCAGGAAAATGAGACGACGGAAGGATCCCGGAGTATAATCCGCCCGTGGTTAGCACCCCGCCTGTAGTCGACGGAGGGGTAGCGGCACACAACGAAGCAGCAGCAGCAGCAGCAGCAGCAGCATACGGAACTGCTGACATGGCACTTGACTGATGCCACGGGCTCCCAATCTGGCTGCTCCCTTCCTTACAGCCACCGCTCCCACAATCGCCGCTTCTACAGTCACCACTGGCACAGTCGCCGTCGCTGCTGCCGTCAGCGCCATGGCTACCTCCTTGCACCAGATACGGCAGGCCGTGATCGTTGACGGAAGCTAACGGTTCAGGTGACGACCGGCCACTAGGAGGCGTATCGCCACCTTCATCGCAGAAAAGCGCGTCGGTTGTGTTTAACGGAAACGGTTCGTTAAACGGCCGGTTTCCGAGTTCCACGCGCTTACGGATGTCTCTCTTGCGCTGACTGCAACATGTCGTCATCGTGATACGGATTTCTCGTCAGCTGCCGCTGCCAAGAAATACTTCACGGTGCTTTCTCACGTGATGCTGACAATTTTCACAAGTCCAGGCTCAGGGTGCTTTGCATGCTTTGACGACGCCGTCACGGCATCGTTAGTATCGCCTTGCCTGCATTGTTAGGATCATTGCGTGAGGAGCGAGAAAAAATAACTTGCGAGAACCGCCAGATTCCATTTATTCAATCTTGTAGGAATACTGCCGGCAGCCACGTGGAAAATTCCCGTAATGTGTGACTATATCGCAGGGGATTCAATGGGGTCCTCACAACCGTCCGTGGTTGCTCCTCCTTCACCTTCTGAAAACCCTCCTCTATCGCCGTATCTCGCTGCCTTAGCCATGTCGTCCCCCGTCCTATCCGTTAACAACGAAGATGCTAATAGCGAGGACGGATCCACGCTCCTGTCCCCTGCTCTTGCTTCCCCCGCTGCGCCGATCTTCCGCTGCCGCTTCCGCACGCCGCTGTTCGGCTGCGTGGCGCTGGACGCGGTGCAGCGGGAGGTGCGCGGACGCCGCGAGCTTTCGGAGCGCGGAGCGCTGCAGGCGCAAGGGGAGCGGGGGCGGAAGCAGCAGGAGCGGAAGCAAATGGCTGCGCAAAACAAGCGGAAACCTGCGCAGGAAGGGGGAAGGGGGGTGATGAAAGACCAGCAGCGGGAAGGAGCGGAAGCAGCAGCGGAGAGGGCGGAGGCAGCGCGCGTCAGCCACGATCTCGCCATGTTTGTTGGAGGCCCCATCTGGGCCGTTGATTGGTGCCCTCTCCCTCGTTACAGTCACACCCAGTATCTCGCTGTCGCCTGTCACCCGCATCTGCGCCCATTCTCCCCCCTCGGCGTCCCTCTAAGCGGACCTGCGCTGGTGCAGGTGTGGGCGGTCAGACTGGCGGAAGGGGACGGGGAAGCGGAGGGGGATGGCGAGGGGGATAAGGAGGGGGACGGGGAGGGCGCAGAGGGGAATGTGCCCTGGTGGATGCAGGCGAGCGGAAGGGGCAGGGGGAGAGGGGGGCGGAGGGGGAGAGGGGCGGGGAGAGGAGGAGAAAGCGGGAGAGGGCGAGGAAGAGGGAGGGGTAGGGGGAGGGGGAAGGGGAGGGGGAGGGGAAAGGGTGGGGATACTATGGGTGGAGAAATAGGAGGAGTTGGAGAGAGGAGGCAGGAAAGTGTTGGGGGGAGTAGTGTGGGAGTGAAAAGGAAAGCTGGGGATGTGGGGCTCGGTTTACGGCGGTGGGAAGGGGTGGAATGGAATGGCAGAGAGAGGGAGGTTGAGGTGAGATGGGAGAGAGGGGTAGGTGGGGATATAGGAGGAGGAATAGTAGGCGGAAGAGGAAGAGGAGGAGAAGGAGAAAGAGGGGAAGGAGGCGGAGGGGGAGGGGGGAGAGAAGAAGGGGCAGATGGGAGGAGAGAGAGCGGGGGAGGGCCGCAGGCGCAGATGGTGCTGGGGATCACACACCAAGGCGGACTCGCTGTGCCAGGTGGCGGCCGCTGGTTGGCGGGCGAGACGGCAGGGGAGTGCGAGAAGGGGAGGAGGGTAGCCTTGGGTTGCTGGCGACAGCAGTGGGAGATGGTAGCGTGGCAATGTGAGACGTGAAAGTAATCATGAGATTTTAATCACAGGGCAGGCCGAGAAGGAGAGGGTGGTTGCGGTAGCCTTGGGTTGCTGGCGGCTGCACTGGGAGAGAGTGGTTGCAGTAGCCTTGGGTTGCTGGCGGCTGCACTAGGAGAGAGTGGCTGCGGTAGCCTTGGGTTGCTGGCGGCTGCACTGGGAGAGAGTGGTTGCGGTAGCCTTGGGTTGCTGGCGGCTGCACTAGGAGAGAGTGGTTGCGGTAGCCTTGGGTTGCTGGCGGCTGCACTGGGAGAGAGTGGTTGCGGTAGCCTTGGGTTGCTGGCGGCTGCACTAGGAGAGAGTGGTTGCGGTAGCCTTGGGTTGCTGGCGGCTGCACTGGGAGAGAGTGGTTGCGGTAGCCTTGGGTTGCTGGCGGCTGCACTAGGAGAGAGTGGTTGCGGTAGCCTTGGGTTGCTGGCGGCTGCACTAGGAGAGAGTGGTTGCGGTAGCCTTGGGTTGCTGGCGGCTGCACTAGGAGAGAGTGGTTGCGGTAGCCTTGGGTTGCTGGCGGCTGCACTAGGAGAGAGTGGTTGCGGTAGCCTTGGGTTGCTGGCGGCTGCACTAGGAGAGAGTGGTTGCTGATGGTACCGTGGCAATGTGAGCTGTGAGAGTGGGGACCCCAAGTCCATCCCTCTCCGTCCTTGTTGCTACACTAGTTGCAGTCGTGTGTATGTTCCATTCTGCCTCTTCCTGCACGGCACTCATGTGTTTTGGCAATAAGCAACTTTCGCTGCTCCTCTCGCTTTGCCCCTCTCCTGCTTCCCGATTCCCCACGGCCAGCTATCACGTGCCTCTGCCTCAGCAAGACAACACCCGATGGCAAAGCAGCGCACAGCAGCAGCAGAATGAGCTGTCGCCATCGCTGCTCCACCCAGCTCCGCACGGCCCTCTGCTCGCCCTACCGCCTATCTTCCAGTGGAAGTCCAACCCAGCTCATGGCCCCGCCAGGTACAAATCTGGGAATGACCATCATAGGCAACAAGGCTTTTGAGGCGCCTCAAAAGTCGTCTCATGGCCCCGCCAGGTACAAATCTGGGAATGACCATCATAGGCAACAAGGTAAAAGGGTGGCTTTTGAGATGCTTGGCCGCTTATTTCTTGGGCCGCTATGACTTTTCTCAGAGGTCATCATCCAGTGGAGGTCCCACCCATCCCACCGCATGGCCGGGTGGCCGGTTGGCAGTCCCACCCACCCAACCCACCACATGGCCCCGCATATGTGCCACTTAATTCGCAACATTATCAAACACGGAGCAACTAACACGCGGTGTCAAACAGGCAGCGTCAAACATGCGGCTCCAAATACAGCCCTTCCGTTAATCCCGAATCCACCCACGTTTGTAGTCTCTCGCACTTGCTTTGCTACTCTTCCCCCGTTGCCCTTGCTATATCTCCTGCCATGTCCCCTTGTCCCAGGCTCCCCTGCGAGCTCGCATGGAAGGTGGATTCTGCGTCTCATGCCTCATCAACATCTCCTGCCACACCGTGCTTCCCACATCGCTCCGCCGACCTGCTTGCTGCCGGCTTCCAGGATGGTTCCGTCCGTAATGACCCTTCCCGCCACCTGTAGCACTTTCCCGTTTACCTTCTGACTTGGTTTGCTTGCTCTGATTGTTCGCATCGCAACAATTACTGCCTCTGAGATGTCCCAATACGGGTCTGTTTTGAGACCTCTCAAAACTTGAGATGTCCCAATACGTCTGTTCTTGTGACAACTTAAGTCTTCCTCTAGTTTCTGTTCTCCCATGAACATTCATCATTCCCTGTGTGTTGAGACCTCTCATTCCTATGATACATAAACAAGTCGTTTTCAGGCTTTGTCAGTATTTTTCTGCTTTGCAGCTGCCTCCTCAATCTCGTTTCCTTCTCAAACGTTGTTGCTGGTTTTTGGTGCGACGAATGGACCTCTTGTTCTTCAGGCTCACTTCAAATCAACTCCGCTCGCTCTCCTCCTCCGCCCCCTCCCCTCTCATCAGGTGCTCGTGTGGCGACTGCAGCTTGATCACCTCATAGCCAATACGCCTGCATCACCATCAACAGTCAAGGCACCATCAGGATCCAAGGCACAGCCACCACTGGCACCCGCTGCACCAACACCATTCTCTCACAACCCCATCCTGTCCTTCCGTGCGGATTCATCTCTCATTCGCTCCCTCGCCTGGCTGCCTACGCCCTTGCCACCTAGATCCAACACACCTTCACTCACTGCTGCTGCCAGGACAGGGAGAAAGGGTAGGAGGGACGGACAGGAGGGAAGGAACGGTAAGCATAGGGGGAAGGGGAAGGAGGAGGAGGAATTGGATGGTGAGGAGGGAGAGGATGGAGAGGGGGAAAAGGATGAGGATGGGGTAGTGGAGGAGGAGTTGGGATCTGAGGAGGAGGAGGAATGGGGGGAGGGGGCGGTGGATGAAGGGGAGGAGAGCACAGTGCTCATTGTGGGCAGCCAGTCGGGCATCTTGAAGTTCTGGGACCTCAGGTGAGGCGCTTTGCAGTGCGGTGCAGTGAGATGCAGTGAGGTGAGGCGCAGTTAATTGTTTGTGGGGGGATGTGGGTGGTGGGGGAGCAATGGTTCATGTCATGTCATGCAAATCAAAATCTCGTCGCTTTGCAAATTGCAACATTACAGTCAACATGCAAAAGGGTCACTCTTACACTAAATGGACTGCAGATCATGAGACATGTTCCAGCGAGCAGTAGCGTAGGTACTTGAGGCGCCTCAAAAGTACGCGTGTTGGAATGCTTGTCTGCGTGTCCCAACCCCTCTGACATGTCACCGTGTGCCTTCTGCCATGCTGCCATGCTACCGGGTCCATGTGCCATGCAGCCATGCTACCATGCCACCCCGCCACCATGCTACCATGCTACGCTGCCATGTCAGGGACGTGTTTCAGCCGGCATACGAGACCCCCACCATCTCCAGGCACAGGGTGCTGCATCAATCACACCCTCCCTCCCATGCCTCCCTCTGCAATGGCCTTCCATTCCAGGGACGTGTTTCAGCCTGCGTACGAGACACCCACAATTTCCAGGCACGGAGTGCTGCAACTGCACTTCTGCATCCCCTTACGGTGAGCCCCACCGTCCCCATTGCACGCTGTTGCTGCACCCGATGGTGGTCAAGATTCACTTTGACGAATCTTGTTTGTTCCCGCCATGCGCTCCTCCTCCCTCCCCCATTTGTGCTCGAGGCGCCTCTCAGTAATTCTTGCCTTTCTTGCCGTCCATGCTCATCCAACACCTCATCTGGCAGGGCCCTGGTTATGGCCATGGAGGATGGATCACTACGAGTCCTTGCCATGCGCTCCTCGCTCTCCCACCACCCAGCGCTGCCCTTCCCCCTCAACCAGCAGCAGCAGCAGCAGCAGCAGCAGGGCAAGCAGGAGCACAAGGAGGAGAAGAATCGGTACAACCGGCGGTGGGTTGTGTCGACGCTCTCCCTCAGCACAGCTGCAGTATGGGGCGCTACTGCTTCTGATGCCACAGGTACTGCTGCTGCTGCTGCCGTTACCCGTTCAACATTCCTCTTCCTGCCATCAGCCTCCCAAGTTGCAATTGTTATTGTCCCCAGAAATTCGCATAGTTCTTCCACGCTTCCTTGCTGTTGCCTTTGCCGCCCTGGGGTACCTTCACATGTAAATACGCCTTTTCGTGATCCCTCCCTCCCTGGTTCTTACCCTGTCGCAGGGGGGTAACCTTTACATGTAAATCCAGGATGCGTTGCATTCGGCGGGGCAGACGGATCAGTCCGATGCGTTCAGGTGTGTGGCTACTATCTGCTGCTGTCCCGGTTTTTTGTTCACAGTGGAGCAACAAGTTCCCATCAATCACCACAGCCGGAGCAAGCAATCCGGTTTTCAGGCACCTCAAATTGTCTAGGCGCCTTATAGATACCCCCCCTCTACTTCCTCCCTCTACTTCCTCCCTCTACTTCCTCCCTCTACTTCCTCCCTCTACTTCCTCCCACTACATTCTCCATCTGTTCTTCTTGGCAGCTGAGCAACAACTTCCTCATTAACCGCCACCGCCGCAGCAAGCAAGCTGTGATGACAGTGGGGGGATTCAACCAGCTCCTGCTGCCGCCCACACAATTTAGCACGGAAGCTGCTACAGCTGACACATCAGCAGATGAGTCATTCGAGCATCGGTTTGTCTTCTTCCGAGGTGGGTCCAGTGAAGAAATGGATGGGGAGGCAGGGCAGAAGGGGAAAGGGAAATTGAAGAAGGGACAGAGGGATGGAGGGGAGGAGGCGGAGGTGGAGGAAGAGGGTGGGCACACGGCAGATTATGGTGGGGGAGTGGTGTGCGGCAATGCATTGGGATGCAAAGCGGTTGCAATGCACAGAGTGGCGTGGAATGCTAATCGAGGGTTTCAGCAGTGGCTGGCAAGTGGGGGTGCTAATGGGGTGCTCCGGTGTCAGCTGTTTCGCCTGCCATCGGATGGGTAAAAGCGGTTGTGATGGTTGTTCCGGTGTTAACGGCTGCAAATCATAGCATACGTTTTCTGGGAGGTGATTGCACCAGGTTTTTCTTATTTCTCAGGTTTTCCTAACAGTAGTGGTTGGACTGGGTGTTCTCTATCATCTTGTACAGATTAGCAAGTCCCATAATCGTGTGATCCAAGCTGTTTGGGTTGTGTTGTGTGGACTCCGTTGTCTGAAATTCGGATGGTGCGATCGCTGGTAGCTGCGGCGATTGATGGTTTGGATCCTGCTTCGGCGGGAGAGCGTTGTATTGGTTGAGCTTTGAGTTCGTCCAATTATAGAGCTCCTTTTATGCGCCGCGCTTGTGTGACTGCCACTGCTAGCGTGCTCTGTCAGGAACCACTAACACATCCCATCGTGAGGGGTGCTGCGAGTCGGGGCGGCGGGAGAAAATGTAAACTGGCGATGGCAACGCTTTTCACGAAGAACGACGACAGAGCTACCTGTTCCCCACGACCACATGAAAGACGACCACTGACTCGTGAGCTGATGTTACCACGCGGTAACGCGTACGTGCAAGGCACGGAAGCACACTGTTCAGGTTGATGGCTCAAAGACTAGCTGGTGTTTCCCGTGAATGCAGGAGGAATTGCGCCAGATGTGGACGTTCAAAAGCCCATGTTCCTGCATTTTTCATTCCATATTGTCACAGTGTGGACGAGGTTTTCCGGGTAATTGACATGCTAAACGGCTGTAAATCGTAATTGTGACAATAGAACTTCCCGTTTGATGAAGACCATCTGCTGCCTAGGTTCACTACCTGCTTGATGTATTTGCTCCTTGGCCATGGCTGACGGTGGCTGGCTTTCGATCTGACTCACTGCGCTTCTGCTAGCCACGGATTATGGACTAGATGAACGCCGTGTTTCTACCACAAGGCTGGACGCCCTAACTTTTGCGGTGCTGGTCCATCGAAAGTTCACCATAGCCGGTTTTCCGGCCCTTCCCTACTCAACGGCCTGCTTTACCGATTAGCCTAAAAGCTAAATTGGGTCCGTCCGCTATTGCGTTGACTGATCAACTCGTGTTTTCTTCGGTTGATTGTGTTTTCATTTCGAATATCATATCCCACTGCTGACTGACCAGCATGCGGTAACCCTAGTTTTCAGTAGCTGGGAGCAACCTTTTTCCCTCCCAGCATTCTCGAGCATTGCCACGCCATCTCCAATATCCGTCCCTATCGCATCCTCCCTTAGCATTGTGTTTCTAGAAGTGTGTGGACCGACTGAAACCCTCCTTAGGCTTTACCTAAAAGGATAGCAATGGCGTGGGAAGCAACCGCATCGCTCACGTCCAAGCTGTCCAATCAGGCTTCACTCGCCTCAGCGGTTAATCTAGACTCACGGCGCAAGCCGTCGACCGCTTCTCTTTCACCGTCCTTACCCGATCAATGGAGCCAATCCGGTTCCGCGAGAATATCCGGCTCCTGTAGTCTGACGTCAACTGTTAAGTCTAATCGCAAATGGCGAATGTCGGCCGATCAGCAGTCGTTCTTAACGGGATCGTCTGACGGCTTTTTTTCGTCGCACGCGTGCCTGACTCAGACCCTTGAGACAGTTGTTTCTAACTCTGACAATAGCTGTAGCACATTACCTTATTGCTTTAATCCCCTAGACTCCCTCTCCGCTATTGGAAACAACAGCAGTAGCAATTCCTCCTCGCCTAGCGTTAGGAGTAATTTGTCCCCACTATGTATTCCAACCTTAGGCCCAGTTGCCGGTTCGGAGTTACGTTCGGCAACAGGCTCGGCATCGAGCCCGTTGATGGTGGAATGCTTTGAGGTGGAGCGGTGCGAGGGCTTGGAGGGACACGTGTCGATCAGTGGTGCTAAGAACTCCGCTCTTGCAGTTCTCGCGGGGGCTATCTGCTCATCCGAGCCTCTAGTTCTGCGTCGGGTGCCGGACCTTCATGACATCAGGCGCATGTTCCAGGTTCGGCCCAACGACATCCATCCCTGCTTCCTGTTTCTTTCTTGGAGCATCTAGCGTCGTCATTTGGGGCGACAACGATATAGAATTAGCTTAATCCGTCGAGAGTTGCATTTGCGTGGCATTGCGGCCATGTCATTATTTTCATACCACTACTCCCATGTCATTACTGCCATGTCATTACCTCCATGTCATACGGCCATGCCGTTACTGCCGTGTCATCATGACCATGTCTTTACTGTGTCATTACTGTCATTATTTTCTTGTATCAGGTTCTCCAATCGGTCGGCGTGAAAATACAGCGCGGAGTGGACGGCCAGGATTCATCCGTGCTGGTCGACGCGTCCTGTCTGTCTTCCGTGGAGCCTTGCCCCGACGTGGTGCGGAAGCTTCGCGCCAGCTTCTTCGTGATCGGCGCGCTTGTGGGGAGGCAGGGGGAGGCGGTGGTTCCGCTGCCCGGCGGCTGCAACATCGGCGCGCGCCCCATCGACCTCCACGTGCGCGGCCTCGAGGCGCTGGGTGCCAAGGTTGATATCAGGTGAGCATACTATTTCACATTGATATTACCGGTCACGTTGTGTGACATTCGAGCGACATTCAAATAAAAAGTGTTGATTTCGTCAGAAGTGCTCACGTGCGCGGCCTCGAGGCGCTGGGCGCTAAGGTCAATATCAGGTGAGCGCATTGAGTCACATCGGTATTACCGGTGACATTCGGGTGACGTTAGGCGTTCCGGTGACTTTCGTTTGGCGTTATTACACGCGATAATTGAGCGTGTTCTTTTATCGTGTTCATTATGCGCGCCCTAACCTAAGCCAGTCTTCGCGACTGTCACAGCTTTTTCGCACTTGGTTATGGCAAACGTAGCGGTCCAAGAACCTTTTTTATAAGTTGTCTCAAAGTTTTTTTGGGCAATGTCGCATTACCATGACCTCGAAGTTGTCTCCCTCGTCAACCCCCGCCCTCCCCGCCCCACTCAAAATCTTCTCTCCGCAACCTCTCACCTTCTCTCCCTCACTCTTTTCCTCTTTGCCATGTGGTCCCCGCAATCCTCATCCCTCCCCCTATCCTCCCCACTACCCCTTCTCTACCCCTCTCTCCGCCTCTTTCCCCCTCTTTCCCCCCATCCCCGCCGCATGCGCGCAGGCAGGGGCGCGTGCACGTGCAGACAGCGGACGGCGGGCGGCTCAAGGGGGGAAGCTTCTACCTGGACTTCCCGTCGGTGGGCGCCACTGAGACGCTCATGATGGCCGCGTCTCTCGCGGACGGCGAAACCACGCTGTCTAATGTCGCCCAGGTGAGTGAAGGGAGCTCAGAGGGTAGCCAGGCACGGCACGCATGGCGGTAGCAGATGTCGTCCAGGTGAGCGCATGGGGAAGGCAAGCGGGACAGTACGACGCTAGCTGATGTCGACGAGGTGAGCGGAAAGGGAAGGTAGGCGGACGGACGGGGGCTTGCGCTGTGGCAGTGTAAGCGCCACGGAGCCGCTCATGATGGCCGCGCCCATTTTCTGCATCTTCCAGCCTAAAGTCCACATGCCCTCCTCTCCTCCCTTTTCTCCTGCCTCCCATCCCATCAAGAGCCTGAGGTGGTCGACCTGGCGAATTTTTTCTGCCCCTAATTCCCACATCCACTTCTTTCTACCCCCTTCTGCCCGCGCCTTCCATCAGGAGCCCGAGGTGGTGGACCTGGCGGATTTCCTCATCTCGTGTGGCGCGCAGATCAGGGGGGCGGGCACCAACACGATTGTGATCAAGGGTGTGCCCAGGCTGGGACCCGCCGAGTTCACCATCATCCCCGACCGGATTGAAGCGGGAACCTTCCTGGCAGCTGCGGCCATCACGCGGTCGGTGGTGTCGCTGTCACCGGTGATCCCGCGGCATCTGACGGCCGTGATCAGCAAGCTCAGAGCCATGGGGTGCCGCGTGCAGCAGACCAAGATCGGCACTCTCAGGGTATGGTTGGTACAGTGTAGCTGTGTGGTACAGTAGGTACAAGTGTGCGAGGCAGGTTCGAGGCGTGTGAAGAATTGTGTCGGGTGTAAGTATGGAACGTTTGGTACAATAAGAGTGGGGGTAAGGAGATGTGGTGAAGTTTGGCATGTCAAGCTGTTCACTCTCTGGTTTTTACTCTCGTTTCTCCTCTTCTCTCTTCCCTCTGCAAGCAGATCTCGCCGGGCATCTGGCCGTTGAGAGCGACGGATGTGACAACGCTGCCATACCCAGGCTTCCCAACGGACATGCAGCCGCAGCTCATGGCCGCGCTCACCACTGCCAGCGGCCAGAGCGTCATCCGGGAGACGGTGTTTGAGTCGCGGATGAGACATGGTGAGTGCGTCGAACAGCCTTGTGGCGCTCTGTTTTGTGCTGCCGAGCTGCTGAAGGGTTTGGAGTGTGCGGGCGTTTGTGGATGCCTTGTGCTTGTTTCCTGTCGCTGTTTTTCTGTTGCTTGAATCATTAATTTAACCGGTGGATTCTTGTGTGTCCGCATGTGTTGGGTGGGTTTGCGCGCGATAATCCATGGCGTGAATGGGTCTTATTGCATGCTGTATTGTGGCTGGCAACGTGTGTGCTGTGCCATGGCATGTCATCATACCATGCTTTGAGCAAGCAGTGGAGGAGCTGCAGAAGATGGGAGCCAAGATCAAGATCACAGGCAACACTGCCATCATCAGCGGCAGGGACCAGGGCAGCCAGCTGTACGGCGCCCCCGTGGCAGCCACTGATTTGCGGGCGGGAGCAGCGCTGGTGCTGGCAGGGATGGCAGCGGAGGGGCGCACACACATAGAGGGTGTTGCGCACATTGACAGGGGCTATGAGCGCTTGGATAGCAAGCTGCGAGGGCTGGGGGCTAGGATTCAGCGCCTGCCTTGCCTCCCTGCCGAGCTCACATTGTGATGGGGTCGGTGGAAGAGGGATGGGGTCTAGGAGTCAGCACCTACCTTGACGCAGTGGGAGGGCTTGGATATAGAGTTTGAAGAGGATCCAGTGGGTTGTGGTTCATAGGGATAGCTAGGTAGCACTTGGGATGCTGAAT